GGGGAGTGATAATGTCTGTAATATGTTAATAATAATAATAATAATAATAATAATAATACATGACACTTGTTGGGGAAATATTTTCCAAGGCCCATAACTTTGACCCAGTGTATCAGTTCTGACTGAGCACACGCACCTGTAGCCTTGGCTGCTGTGCTCTCAGTGTTCTGTCTCCCTGTTCCTGCCTGTTGGCGTCAGCTGATAGAGGTGTTATGATTCTATCTTGTTGTGCAGCATGTTGATTATTCTCTCTGATCTAGCTAAAGACACGGGTCTGGGGTAGAGTTCTTCAGAATTGACGTGGCAACTCTACTGTGAAGTCAGAACCTCTGACTCTTTGACTTGTTTTGTGAATTCTCCGACCGAAGCTCCAAATAAACCCATCAGTGTTTGCCATCAAAGCTCCAGCTCTCCCCGTGTCTCCTTTGAGTCCTCCTGCTTTGCTACACAGAGGTTTCCCCCACAATGTTTTTACTTTAGCATGTATTCTACACGATTCCACTAAAAAGCATTCAGCCACAGCAAGTTAACTTGAATGGCACTCTGAGAGACAACCCTCAGATGGGCTCATTTACATTGTTACTTACTTATCAGATGCTTTTACCCAAAGCGACTTTCATACTCTCAATACTCTCATTTCATTTCAGTGTGTTTAAGGGCATTAGGTTTAAATGTGCAAGCAACACGTACACTACAAAGACGATGTGTTGTTTTTATTGCCCAGAGTGTTAAGCAACACGTCAAGATTTGCAGAGTTGTTGTTCCCACACGACCTACATTTCATATTCCTATTATATATGAATATAATAATAATACACAAATGCTGAACGCTCACATTGTAAACAACATATTAAACAACGTAATAATGATTTCCATAAAAGCAATGTGATTAACTCTGACCAGATTCTGTGTGTGTGAAGTCTTAACACAAAACAAAAAACACTGTGCACTCAAGAGAACAATTAATATAATCCTGTCTCCATTTTGGAAACCCTTAGAACACATCATTCACTACTTATCATTACATCTCCTCATTAATAACTCATACCATTTGTTTGATACTGGAGACTTTATGTCCTTTACCTTTGCGTCACCATTAATCCAAACTTTGGGTACACTCTCAGATCTACCATATCCTGTGAAGTGTTTTCTGTTAAGATAATTTCTACCTGGGATATTAATCAATATTATTAAGTATTTTCAGTCAAAGCTTTCCTGATTGCTCTCTTGCTGGAGTAAAATTCAACCAAAGCCACTGGAGTTCTTGATATTATTATTACATGTTCGCTATTATAATAAAACCACAAGATGTGTTATGTGGCATAATGGAGCAATCAACAAAGCTGTTTGTTACCAGAACACATGCGGTGTAATTAGCTTTCGGTAAACGCTGACTTCCTCTGGTTTCATGTGTGCTGTGTGCCGATGAAATCCGATTACAGGAGCATTCTCTTTTCATTGTGCCCAGCGTGTTCCCAGCTCACCTCCACAGCCGGGCTCCACCTCTCCGACCTTGTGAAGGGCGTCGGCCAGCAGTTCGGGGAGTCTCCCGTTCAGGTCCACAGACGCCAGGCAGCCCTGGTACCCTTCCCGGGATGCTATTAACCTCGGCAGGCTGCTGTACATGCTCTTCCCAACACCACCAATGTACAGCTCGCCTGTTGTTGTAGAAATGTATCATTAAGTCTCATTTCATTACTGTACAGTAACTTCATTCTCTGGTTTCTATTTTCCCACGGTTCGAATTCACATCTAGCTTCTAATTTGCACTTCCTTAGAACAGACGAAAGGCTGTCTAGTCAACCATTGGTTTGTCATTTGTAAAAGGTATAAGGACATGATTTTAACAAGATACAGGGATGACGCTGTTTAATCATAACTGGCTGTTTGCAGTTTATTTATTTATTTGGTTTGTTATTTTATCTTTTCTTGATATCATTTACCTCCGTTATGTATTTGTTTGTTTATTTATCTGCTTATTTGTTTGTGTATTTATCAGGTTATTTATTTGTTGTTTTATGTTTTTGTTTGTTTTGTTTTTTCAATAAAAAAAGTATTTCTTTAAGAAAAAAAAAATATATATGCAGGGGTGCACACAACTTTCTCAATGAGGTACTCAGATGAGCACCTGGAGTCAGTGTTTGGTACTCCAACTTCTGGCTCCCTTCAAAGTTCAAAGTTCCCATGAAGCCCTCTGTATCGCGAATGTCAACGGGGGGGGATCAGCTGTTTTAGCGCTGTGCAGCTGTACAGACCGACGATTACAGCAGCCCTGTCTGCGCACACGGAAACCGACTGTCGTCCGGTGATCTAACCGCCTTCTGGAAAAGCTTCAAAAGTACGTCGGTACGCAAATTGTGACACAAGGGACGGTACGCATTTCAGATTATTGCCGCGCATGCGCACCTGCGTACCACTTATGTGCACCCCTGTATATATGTTAATAATTTAGTTTTTGGGAGAAGGGGTGAGATTAAATAAGTGTAAACTGCTTCCCACCCCTTCTCAGATGTGTAATTAAGTAGATAATGTGTTTATACATAAGTTAGAATCAGTCATATTTGTGTATATCAATTTGCTTAATTTTGAATTGTATAATAATTGTTATGTTACATTTTTGTATTATTGTTTTACACATTTAAAATAAATCAAATCAAAATAATGAACATGTATGCAAGTTTCCACCGTCTGGGCAACGCTCCCTGTAATGGGAAAGACCTTCCCCTTCCCTTGCTCTCGAGTGTATAAAGTGTTTGTATTTTCCGTTGCATGTTGTAAAATCTTTTACAAACCTTTAGGTGCAAAGACTTTGTCCTTTCAGCTGAAATAGATGAACTCTGTTAAATGCTTTTGACTTGTATTGACTTTACTAAATAACAAAACCTTGCTTTAAACTTCTATTATTTGTTCATTTCTTGCCAAACAGGTTGTTTTTGTGTGGAATTTCCTCCACACCTGAGAGAAGTCTTTAATTTCATTGAATCCAACATTTAATTAAGAGATTTAATTTTACGTTTTAGCCTTTAGGTCATTTAGTTAGTGGTTGACCGGAGTACATTACATTCAAAGCTGTTTCCAATACAACTCATGTGTGAAGAGGACAAAATTTTTAGAACAAACGTGAATCATTTTACACATTTTGGACAATCTCATTATACATTTTGTAAAAGTGGAGTCCACCCTTTTTAGAGCTTTTGAATGGTGCCTGCTTCTAGTTGTTGGTATATGCTAAACATGTGCCTGTATTTGTGTTAACATACAGTATATAGGAACAAAACACATTGAGAAATACTATAAAAAGTCATATTTTATCATGAAATCTTGTACTAATCTCAATTGTATTTTTTACTTTGTCGTATTCACTGTGTCCCTTGATACAATCCTTTGATTTAAGTAAGTCAATTAATTACCTTTCAAATCGAGGTTGCGGGCTCCATTGGCGTGTTGGGTGACGGTGCGGGAATCAATCTTGAGGATGTGCACATTGCTGTTGTCCCGGGAGATCATCACATTGTGCCACTGGTTGTCATTAAGTTGCTTGTCAGAGTTTCCCTTCATTAGCGACGGCCCATTTCCCAAGTCGAAAACATAATGAACGTACCTACACAACAATACAGATTATTACATTCAGTGTTTCTTTTGTGTTCGTTTCCTCCAATATGTTGTTATGGGACCACACTGTAGAAAATAAGCACCTCAAGCTGCGTAAACTGCTGTGATTTGTGATATAACAACTGAGGGGTGGGGTCAAAGTCAGAAATGCTCTTTGTTGACACAGATAACAGTGAATGAATGAAGACAAACATCAACACGTTACATCATGTTGAAATTACATTTGATCACTACACAGAGTGCACTGTCAAAAAACGGAATCTTGTTTGAATCAAAGTTAAGCAGCATCTATTTCAAAGCTGCCACACTTCACACTAAATATTGAGCAGCCTGGAAAACAATGACAGAAGCGTTGGAAGCCATTTCTCGTCTGTGTTGTCTGTGCGACTTCTGCTGCAGGCTGCGGAGCCGAACAAGGACTCCTGCTGAATAATTGCTAACTGGGAAAAGAGTCTGTGCAAGGCTTGACAGAGGAAAACTACAATCGTTGCTTTGCTTGCTCAGTTTCGACAACCCTTCTCTGCTAATCTGTCAGTGGCAAACAATTATCTACAATGAATAAAACATGAGCAACATATATCTGTTGCCAAATGTGTTTGTGTGAGAATGACACCGGTGCTCTGGTGATGGTGGTTATTGTTTTTGTAGTCATACTTCCTCTACCAGCATCCCTCCCTATACCAAAATAATTTATGATGACAACATTTCTCCACTGCTGCAGGCTGAAGAAATGAATCATGATTAAGACATTTTGAGCCCAAAAAAGGAGAAAAGTAGAAAATGCACTCTTCAAGGCGCCTTAAGCTTTGCAAGACTAATATTTTTTGCACTGATGGATATCAGAACTGCATACTTTCGCCAACTAATCGGCTAAGTCGCTTAGGATTAGTCATTTTTAATATTCTTTTTCCTGCTGAATGACTCATTTCCCCAAAAATTCTGAGCACATCTCTGGTGAACAGAACATTAAAGGGTTTGCTTTTGCATGGTTCTTTGTGGGGACACAACTCAACTAACAGTTTAGTTAGAGACAGCTCTCGTAGTAGTACTCCAGTTCTGAAAACTTTACACTGACTTCCTGTATGTCAAATCATTGATTTCAAAAATACTGTTGCTGGTCTATAAAGCATTGAATGGTTTCGGGCCAAAATACATTTCTAATCTCCTTCTAAATTATTACATTTGCTTTTAAAATGCCATTTTATAATATGTTTCTGCGGTACTATTTCCTAATGCTCTTAGTGTCTTTCGTTTTTGTAAAGCACTTTGAATTGCCTTGTGTTGAAAGGTGCTATATAAATAAACTTGCCTTGCCTTACCCAAAGCCCCTTCTATACTTATCCGAGTCCAAACACACATCACTTACCCTTTGACCAGCTCCACCACGATGAAGTCACTACCATCTCCAGAGTTGTAAAGTATCAGCCCGTCAGGACTGGTGGTCTTGAACTGAAAGAAGAGGTGCATGGAGGCGTAGGCCTGCAAGGTGGAGAAGGCCAGATAGCTGGCCTGCGCTGTGAAAGTCACAGGATTGGCCAAGATGTGCCTCATGCCGAACCGAGCATTCAGCTCGCAGTAGGAGATGTCTCCGTTCTTGCACTGGTCCAGATACAGCATCCCGTTGAAGGAGAGAGCTTGCAGATGGCCGATAAAGTTGGAAGGCATCACGGAGATGAACCGCCGCTCTGTCATGATCCCCGTCTCGATGTTGTTGAATTCCAGGCGGGTGTGGGCGCCTGTCATGTGGCCTAGGGGACAAAAAAGAAGCTCAGATCTCAACTACCTTTCAATATCTGCAGCTCAGTAAGCACAGCTCCTTCAATGCTGCTACACACCTTCCACTGTCACATTGTCCACAGAGAGCTGCAAATTCTTCCCACGCCGCACCACCTTCACGGTGTGCCACTCATTGTCATTCAGCTTCTCGCCTACCAACAGTACCTCTGGACCCTTGCCTGAGAGGAGTAAAGTGAGTAAAGTGACAATCATACCACAGCAGCTCAGTATACATCCTTTAAACATGAGGCTCACTTCACAGGGTCGATGCATTCACCCACTTCCAGAACAACACACACACACACACACATCAACATTTACCGGCATCCAATACTTTGCATTCACAACACAGTTTGAGAATAAAATAAATCAAAGTAGCTTTAGGGTTATTTTCAGGCTCCGGGAGCAACGGATTAGATTTAATGGGATTACGGAAAATAGTTAAGTGTATTCCTTACATTAATAAAGGGGTTAATCAGATTAATGTTACATTTAAAAAAAAGAAAAACGGGGATTACTAGCAGGATTACAATGCTAGAAACCTAAGAAAGAGCATATTGTGTCTTACTGTTTGTTCTGTAGGCTAATAAATCCAAAATAACATGTTTAATTTACTACGGTTACATTGTCCTGTTGTCTTACATAATACACTAAGTAAAAAACATCTTATTGAAATGTATTTTGTATTATTTGCATTGCATTTTTCATTGAGGTAATCCAAAAGTAACAGAAGGTAATCAGGGTACATTACTTTTATTTTCTGATACTCAGATTAGGTTGCTGGTTACATTTGTATTACAGGTAACTTGTAAGTGTAACAGATCTTAAGTACCCCTCTCATCCCTGGTTATTTCTGTCCTGAATAGCAAGTGATTTGATTAATGTCTACTTAGATATTGTATTACCCAGGGGCTTGGTTTAAACATGCAGCTTTAAGTTTCAATATTCCTGCACTATCCTCTGCCTTTTTCCTTGGTTTCAAAATAGGTCACAGTGCACACGCTTGCCACTGCAGCACCGTCATCCCGAATCAGTGCCGATGCAACAGGCCGACACGGCAGTTCAAAGGAGTTCTGACATCGCTTGGGAAACTAATTGGCCATGCCTAAGCTGACTGCGCCTTCAGGGGTTTGTCTGTCTAATTGAGCTCATGGTGTAGGAGAATTACAGGGGACGTACAGAGGGCAATAAATGGAAAACATCAACTGCTTTCCGAACACTGCTCTGTTTCATCCTCAGGGAAATAAAACTGTGACTGGAGACTTTGTCCAGAGCTGCATATCAAGTGTCTTTACAGCACACAGCATGGTATCATCATCCACCTGCCGAATATCGACTGTGTACACCAGACAGATCAATGGCATCAAATCATGCTCACTATGTTGACTGATTTACTTCCATAGTGAGAAACAAACCCACTCACTGGAATCGTCTCCAACATAAAAACAGAAAGGTTTATCTTGTAGAGATGACATTTGACGTAATGAAAACAGAGATAGTGCAACGCTGGATAAATATTTATCTTATCTGCAGATAAGATAAATATTTATCCAACCGCCCTCAGAGAAGCACATGTGCTTCTCTGAGGGCGGCTTCCCTGAAAGTCTGTTTGCATATCTTGAGGTGTACTTAAGTTACTACAAGTGTTTAAAAAAAGTTGTTTAATGGGATTATCATTTTAGAGGGAGCTGCACAAATACTGATACATCGCCTCGAGTTATATCATGGGGGACGTAGTCATCGTGACGTCGGCCATTAGTTTGTGGGATATGTATATTGAAGCTTTGCTTTTGGCGTTTTGCGATCCTGGTTTTTGACCTTTGCCAACTTGTGACATCAGGGTGAGGCCAAATGCGAACACTGTGATCAAATTGTTACAACAAGCTCATGAGATAAACATACACACTAAAAAATATACACTTGAAAAACTAAAACAAGGAGCACCACAACAGACCTGTCAATCACAATGCATGTCCTTGAGTCTATCTTTCTTTATCAATATATAACTAGGGTTTAATAAATGAACATGGTGCCTACTGAAAAGACATAAAACTAGTAATTTCTTAATGTAAACTAATCATTTTCTAATAGACTTCTATGCAATCTGCAGCCAATGGCGACACCCCCTACAGGTTTCTGCTGGGTGTGAAGCAAGAGACCCCTCTGTACCCCAGCTCAAAGATGGTCACATGACACATCTGAGTCTAGGATCAACTGTCGATTGTCAATTTGCATTGTGGGTATGTACTGTACAGTAGTGGGCAGGTTTTTGAAAATAAAGGAAAACGTAAAAAAATACAGATATCTGTTGTTCCACCGCATAAATGTCAAAACACAAAACATTTACTTTCATTCGTACAAATAAAAGTATTGTTTGTTGTCGTAATATTATATTTGATAATGGGGTCATTAAGATGTTTTTATCTCAGTATGAATAAAAAATGCAGCACACAAAACAGCTTTTAACATCAGCGATGGTGATCTATCTCAAATTCAAATGGTGTTATAAGTATTCAAACAGACCTCTGAGTGTAAATCCTTTGAAATGTGGCCTCCTTTCAAAGTGCCTTTGCTTCACAAGCTCAGCTTCCAGTGGCTCGAGAGCAAGCCGCACTTGTAAGAGGTCTATTTGGTCAAGTTTGATCCTCAGTTCAAATTGAATGTGTTTCATATTTTCAAACAAGAATAACTTCAAAGGCATGGTGCAGTTATACAGGTCAGCATTTAAGAGTGAGCGGAGACTTTGAACGCTCAATGTGCGTGTTAATCAAAGCATGTTATGGTAATATTGTAGGACAAATGCTTCATTTTAAAACTGTCTTGTGTTGTGAAGCATTATTCCCCATATCCTGGAGAATTAATCAAGAGCATTGCAGAAACATATGTTCTTAAATCTGTTACCCTCCCACTGAAAGCCTCCCAGCAGCACGGTGGTCTCTTTGATTCCTTTAGAGATAAACTACACTGGCCATTTTCCACACCTGAGCAATCTGAGTAACGGAAATCCTTAAAGGTGTTCAAAACAAGGACAATTAAAACTCACAACGAGTCTATGTTCTAATCTGTAATGCTCCCCACTGAAAGCACTCACTAAACGACAATTGTTTTAATTATTCTGGAAGATAATTTGGGATAATTGGCTCCATTTGCTGTTATCACTTATCAAATCCATTAAAAAGCCATCCATTATCTCATCTGCAGTATTGAGATCTTCAGAGATCACAGATGTGGCAAACATGACGCAGACTTGATCAGGAATTTTTTTTTAAATCACACAATATAATGCAAAGACTTTTCATATTTTCTGTGCAGTCTATGGTGGTACAATGCCATCTGCTGGTAGAGACGGCAATTACTTTGGCAAATATCTGAGGCTATAAAGCAGCATGTCAATCTTACATATTCTCCCCTTCTCACTTTATTAATAATACCCAAAGCCAGTTATAATTTTTTTAAGATTGTGTAAATTCTAATATGTTTCAATAATTATATTTTTTAAAGGATAATATATTTACATTTAACATTGAAATCAACTAAGCACAATTTTTGGAAAGATTATTTTTAATGTGTTTTTAGTTTTTGCATATTCTGTTATTGTTTATAATTTATTGTATAACAGAAATGAACCAAATCAAAGGGGTTTACAGAGACAGTACATGCACTCTCTATCAAACAACACACCCATGTATCGCACACACACTACTTACCTCAATCAGAGGAACACAAGTAATCCATTCAATAACATGGACTGTTGCTTAGGCTAACACATAAATCTGGTAAATCTGCATTAACAGTAAATTGTCCCCTTTTGTGTATAGCCATTACGTCAGCATCTCAGATCAATAGGTTAAACAACATTTCAGACCAGACTGTTGGTTATTGATCTTTCTATCCTACGTGCTCAGATGGTAAAATATGTTTTATAGTTCACAACAAACAGTTTTCCTTTCATCTCCGGTGAGCATAAAAACAATCTAATAGGATGCAAATGATTGCGAAATTGAACAATAACAGTTAAACCCATTATTTTAGAGAGTCTGGGAATTATTCATACATGAGGCTTGGAAACAAGCTTTCAGTCGGCGCTCGATTATAGTGATAATTTTGTATAAGCGTTCAATAGCTTCCTCTCTATTTGATGATCTTTATCGGGGAGCCGTTTACCTCTTCACTGCCGAACGACTTTCTTGCACTGCTGTAATCTGAAACTACATTTAAATTGCCTGTCTCTCAGTATCAGCTGAGGGTGACAATCTACATCATGAATTCAAACATTTCCGCAGTACAACCTTAAAGTGCCACTCTATTTCACACAAAGAATACCAGAAAATATATTCTGCTGATAAAGAGGGAAATTGGCCCTTGGCATTCATCTGCTATCGACCCAATGGATGTATGTTTGCCTATCTAAATGCAGCATGGATCATGATCATGTATTTGATGATTTGCTGGCAGTAATGTTTCATATTAAAAGGTTTAAGTACAGAACATTTTGTACAGAAGATTTATCCAGCCTGTCCCCCCTGCATCTAAAGCACATATGGCCCAAGAAGCCAATTACATGTGTGGAATAAGGAATTATAATACCAAGTGTCTTTTGACGCGTGACAACAAGGTGGACTTAAATACTTAATTAATCGTTTTCTTTAATTAAAACCTACATCCGTTGATTTATTTTGAAAATTAAGAATATTTTCCACTTAAGGGTCTTTGGATATACCAGTATTGATTATGACTGTGACATTTAAAACATACATATCTATGTTATGCTAATAATACACATGTTCCTTGTGGGTTTTTGTTTTTAGAAATTCATCTGGTTGCCTTTCAACTAACCCTTACTGTTTATTTTCTTTTGTAAAGTTATGGTTACAGACTCTATCTACCTCACTACACTGTGTTTTGAGTTTCAGTTCCCAAAAAAGAAACAAAACACACAGTTATAGTACAAAGTGAATTTGACTTGTGGCATGATTATGATTGTTTTACATTTTCTATAGGTCTAAAGCAGGGGTGTCAAACTCAAGGCCCGGGGGCCAAATCCGGCCCGCGACTTCATTTTCTGTGGCCCCACAAGAGCTTGCAAAGATTATAATATGTTTATTATACGGCTATACATGCTACTTTACAGAAGCACGTTGCCCATAAACTACATGTCCCACAATGCATCTCAAATTTGCCTTTTTTTCTTCAAAATACGCTTTTTTTCTTACAATTTGCCTTTTTCTCAAAATGTTACTTTTTTTTCAAAATGTCACTTCTTTTTTTTTGTTTTTCCAGAATTTGGCTTTTCTTTTAAAATCATTTTGTGACATGCACATTGCAATTATTTGCCCTAGACTTCTGCTTTCAGACGTAGTTAATTATGAAGTTATTACCGTATCTGAAAATAATCCAATGCAGAGGCAATCATGTGATATAATACATTATTTTATATATATTAAATATTTATAAATGTATTTTTATATAGTCTTAAAGTTACAACCGGCCCTTTGAGTGCAGCCATAATGCTGATGTGGCCCGCGATGAAATTGAGTTTGACACCCCTGGTCTAAGGTCTTATAGCTTATGTTACAGCCCTAGTAACATTAACAGTAATCTACTAAAATGCCGCAACAAACGTACACTCTCTATTCAAATGTTTAGTAATAAAACCTCCAAGGAACAGCTCTATTAATTAGTGTGATGATACAAACACTATATACACTGCATCTGGTCCTTGTGCATACATTAGTTTTACAATTCTAACAGTTGACGGCAAAATCAAATCAAATAAACTACTTAACATCTTTCAACATTTACGCAACAACAAGTCTTTTTGATAGCCGAAAGTCTTGTTTCATACTCATCTAGTAATCAGATATCAGACTAACCTTTAAACTAATCTAAGCTCTACATTGCAGAGTGTTTACCCAGTAGCATTCGAGTGCTGCTTTTCTCACGACAGATAATTGCTGATTGTACTTGAAATGTACCCAATTATCAGCTATGCGAGCAAATGAGTCACAAGCAAATGAATGAGTCATTTGCGGCACAAAAGGCAGCGTCAAATCTAGATACATTTGATTAGAAGATTATTATATTGTAGTAATGAGAACATGTGTCATTCACAGTGTTACTAAAATGTAGAATTTATGAGTCTAGGGGGGGAAAAAAGCCAATTATATTCAACCGCACAAAAGCTCGCCACAGAGAAGTCTCATTCTCGTTCTTATCTTTGTAATGATGGTTGTGAGTAGCATAACAGCAACAGTAAACACCGGGGATTGTGGGGCAGAAGAAATTAATTACGTTCTATGTCACAAGGGAATAGAGCGAGAGGCATATGATTACACCACAGTGCATGTGTTCTACATCATGGTACAGTAAATAATCATAGGAGACACTTACTGAGATTACAGTCTATCCTGATACAATCTGGTGAGAGAGAGAGTGAGATGGTGAGGTTAAAAGAAAAAAGAACAGCACAAAAGAGGAGAATATTTCACATCCTTCAAGGTACATTCTGCAGACACTTCAGTGCTTTTCAGAGCCCACCATCCGGGGACAGCCTTGAGAGTCTAAACCGCCACTTTCCTCCCTGTAGTGTACATAACATTAGAAAAGAAACAGTAAAGTCAAAGTAAAAACCTGAGCATGTGTCTGGCACAGCTGGAAGCACAATCAACGTTGGGATCAATAAGAGTTTTATTGAGCATAAAGTGGAGGTGCATTGGTATTTATTTTTAGCGTCAGTATCGGCTTGGATACGGCTGCTTACATTCAGGCGTCTGCAAATGAATCTGACTGTTCCAGATAGCGAGACTGATAGTGTGACTGACGCGTGCTCTGGGGTAATACAGCAAACATGCACCGCTGTGAGGAAAATCGTTTGAAGCAGATCACCAAAATGGAACCTGTGCTCCATTTGTTTTTTTAACACGGGAAGCTGAATAAAGCATCTTAAGCCTGTCACCCAGAGAAGCAGATGAGGGTGACTAATTAACACTACTTAAATTAGAGCAACTACTGGGATAAAGCATTACGTTCAACTCACTGTCGTTTCCTCTCAGTTATTTTCATCCACTTGTTATACAGATGTATGTGTAGCCTCTTTATTATTTATGTTAAGGACGAGATACATGCATTCATACAGTAAGTGATGCATACATTAACCTCTTCTACTCTGCTCTCTCCTAGCATAGACTTTCTTAGAGGATCATTAGAGGTAGATAACAGGCCCACAGCATATGCCACATAGAAGTGGTGAACTTCATTTGAAAGCTGATGACAGATTTGTTGCAAATTTCACTCATATTTTGATAAAATGTTCAAAGAGTTCTCTAATACTTCAATATTACTTCAAGAGCTTGAGAAAATGTAAAAAAAAAAAGCTTTTTGTTATATCAAGGCCCGGGGGCCAAATCAGGCCATTGGTGGATTTAATTTCGGCCCGCAGGATAATTTCTAATTACTATTAGATCTGGCCCGCTGGTATATTGCACGCACACCTTCACTCCATCCTGAGGGTCTCCTCAGCTCAGAGCCTGAGCCAAAACATTGATGAACTTGCACCCAAGATGAGATGCCAAGTATCTGCTTGAACTAGCATCACAGAGCAATACACTGAGTTTAATGGATGTTTCCTTCTGCACTTTGTTTCTTGCGACAACAGGGCATGTTTGGTTTGGGAAATTGTTTTGTTGAAGCTGTTGTTGGCCTGTGGGAAAATGTAATCATAAGAAATGACTCTGGAAAAGCTGCAGATAGAGCCATAAGAAATGAATGCAACTGATTATTTAATGTTTAATGTTGTTTTTCTAGGCAATAATTGAAGCTCTGTTGGTTCCAGGTTTAATATGTGCAATAAGTTCATTTCAATAAGTTCTGGAATAAACATTGAACCAGTCCGGCCCTCGATCTACCCATTTTTTTTATTTTGGCCTACTGTGTATTTGAGTTTGACACCCTTGTGTTAAGGGGACCGCTCAAAAACCCCTTTAGTTAATATACTTAAAAAACCCTCATCTGATTGCCCGAGGTATTTAACTTCGGCTGTATTTTATCCTAGAGGTCATTTTAATAAAGTTAACTCAAGGTAAAAAATATGACAGGTGAATGGGATTGATTATTTCACTGAATAGTACTAAGAAGTTTGTAAATGTGTAATATGTGTCTTAAAGGTATCACACTTGATAGTCTGAATTTGTCTGTATTGCACCAATGCACCTCTACTTAAAAGTCCCAAACCGTGATCCTCCTCGCTTGCTCGTTCCTGCAGGCCTGACAGTTATATATTTTCCAAGTTGAATACAGAGGAAAAGGGCGATTTGCACAACCTGCAGCCACAATGAACCTTACCCCATGAAAAAGTAATGACACCAGCACTAATGTGATGCTTTGCTAACACCTCCCCATGTCTACAACAGCTAATACTTTCCAAATCCATATGCAGTATTCACAGTTTTAGCCTCAAAATGGATTCACCCACTCATCATTAGCATGTTCTGTATAATGGAACCCATTTTTCCTGCTGTATATGAATATATTGGTGTAAGCCATGTGGCTGAGGAGTGCTCTCAAGCTGTCAACCATCACAGAGCAGTGGATACAGACAGCCAGAGACCAGAGTGCTGCAAGTGTACGTGCGTGTGTGTGTGTGTAAGTGTGTGTGTGTGTGTGTGTGTGTGTGTGTGTAAGTGTGTGTGTAAGTGTGTGTGTGTGCGTAAGTGTGTCCATCACCGGCACCATGTGCTCAGCGAAGCGACTCTAAACTGGACAGGCCAGTAAATGTGAGAGGAGGGAACTCGAATGGTCACATCTACAGCTTTAGCGATGTGAGTGGTAATATCTGAGTGTAATGATAGATCTGATCTCTGACTGCCTTCTCCTTGAACTGCAGACAAAGCCATTGAAGGGCTGAAAGAGAGGACGGTCAGATGGGACCTGACCACTGGATGAACTGAGAGAGAGGGACAGAGAAAGAGAGAAAGAAAGTGACAAAGAGACAGATAGAGAGAAAGAATATTCATACACACAGTTGCTTAAAAAGGCATTAAACCACTTGAGTTTTTTCATAGCTGTTTGTGTGAGACAGTAGCAGCCAGTAGCAAGCTAAAAAGTGTAAATATAACCATTTTACACTTTTACTGTAATTATGTATTAGACTATTTTCTGGCTCTGAGATGTTGCCAGGCTACCAACAAAGACTAAATGAAAAAAAATAGTCTGATACATAACCCCCCCCCCCCCCCCCATGAAACCAGGAATTGGGCTTTTTACACCTCAGTTGTTCTGCTGTAATTGAACGCCCTGACAGAGCCATGCTTCCTGTATTCCCTAGTTTGCAGATCTTGTGTTAGCTAAGCTAGCCCTCTGCTTGCCTGTAATTCTTCAACAGATCTCAGAGTGGTGTAGAACTTCTTATCCAACTATCTAAAACGTCAAACTATTTATGTTGTTTTATTTTATGTCACATTATATTATCACAAAAAATTCTGATAAGATAAAAAAGGCTCAAGGGAATTGCTTATCTTGTTAAGCAACTGTAGTTGTTGTGTATGAAGATGGATATGAGAGAGTCTGAGACAAAACTAATTTCATGATAGCTCGTTGACACATTTAGAAGGTCAACAAGCATTATGTGCTCGCATTTGCCGCAGCAGCATTACCCAGGTTCACAGTGAGCTTCACTCTGCCTCCGTCCAGCTCCAGACGCAGTGTGTCCGCTGACTGCTGAGAGGTGGTGGCCACCAGCAGGCCAAAGGCCCTCAGGGACATGAAGCGCAGGGACACGTCCTCTGCCTCTGTGTGGAGTGTCCTTGGCAGCAGCACCTTCAGATACATGCTGCCGTCGTAGCTCACCATCGTGGCCTCTATGGATTGCAGGAAGAGGCGTTAGCATACATTGAACCTCAGAGGAATTCACAAAGCAAAGTGGCATTTATAGATTTAAACCTGAATTGGAGCTTATCTAAAGTACAGCATGATATGATTTTAGATTGCAGTTTTCATCAGTCTCACCAGATGGCAGAAAAAGCCCTGGAACTAGCAAAGACAGTGGTGGGATTACGGCAGCAATCACATTTCTGAAGGACTTATACCCATCATGAAGCAATACAAGGGGGATTTTCAAATATCCCTCATTCTATTAGCTGCTAGTGGATCTGCGTAATTTGGCCTCTCTGTGAGGAAACCATCTGCGTGGGAAATGTGATTCAGGCCGTATCACTGCAGAAGCAGCACTGCATTTCTAATGAAACACTCATAGCACGGAGAACCTTTCCACACTGATAATTCATTAATGAAGCACTGTACACCTGAACAACTGTAGAATAATTAACTATTGCCTAAATAAAAAACATATTGGTGCTTTGATTGTCACCTCCTATCCTTTGTAAACGTGGAGCTCTATTGTTTGAATTGTAATGACATTATTAAGCATGCAGATGATGATACTTCAATTGTAAATAGAACTATTTTTGTCTGAGGGTTGAGTATTAAGGCTTGTAATTGATTTTTTTTTGTATCTACATTATTTTTCTATTTCTGCAGGCCCTTTCCAGGCACTACACAGCTACATCAATAAATAAAATACAGGCCAAAGTGTGTTAAAAGCTTTTCAGCATCATTTTGAAAACACTTATCTTTCTCATGCACCGTCATATGTCTCAGAAACTCTTACCCTTCTCACAGCTGGGACCTAGGTAGCCGGTACCGTTGCATTCACAGATGTGTCGGTTCCAACCTTCCCTGCAGTGTCCGCCGTTGGCACAAGTGTCTCTGGCACACCTGATGTGGGTCTCTCTGGTGCAGAAGCTGCTCACACCTGTGGCGCTCTGAACCTCCGCCAGCCTCCACAGGTTACGGCTCTGTCCGTCTATGAACAGGTCCCTCACACAGCCCACATAGCCCAGGCTGAGGGAGGCGGTCCACACCTCGGGGGGCAGCATGAGGGCATGCCGATCCTCAGGTAACCCCCCGAGATACATCTCCCCGTCAAGGTCCAGGATCTCGCTGCCTTCATTAGCAGCAAAGGGGATGCTCTGGCTATTCACAGAGATGAAGCCTGTAGGGCAGGAAATGAGTCAATTTGTACTTACACAAGGTTTTTGTCTGAGCAAAGAAAGAAGTGTGTGTGTGGGCTGTGCCTAGTGAGAAGTAGGCATTAGGCACTGCTTCCCTAAAAGAGTGTGAATTAAGAAAACTGCACTGGCAGTCCTTGGGAGTTGATTTTATGAGAAAAAGCAGCAGCCAAAACTAAAACTCGCCCTGAAAAGGAAGGAATGATAAATGGCATTGTCATAATACTCTGCTTGAGAGGGAAGGAAATGTATTCATAGAATGTGTAGGAAGAAGTAAGAGGAGGAACAGGGTGTGTTTGGGCTCTTCCTAATAAGGTAGACATTTAGATTGTACTAATAAGGCCACATTTGAGGTGGATGTCTGTATAATTGGCCACTTGTGAAATAGGTTAACACAGATTTCCAAATGTCACACATAGATTATAGCATCTGAAAATATCATTGTAATTAAAACCTAATATGCGTGCATGTTTCGCTGCGGTGAAGAGAAAGCTAGAGCGGGCGGTTTCACAGCTTGGACGATTTTCTGCTCCAGAGCTAAAAGTGGAGTAACAGAAGCAGACAGAAGGCTTCCACGAACACACAGAATTATCTCACCGTTACGACCCCTCCTCTGGAAGTCCACACGGCACCACTCGCCATCATCCAGCCTCTTGTTACTGGCCTTCATTTTGATGCTGCCAGAGCCCATATCCATGACCAGGAAGAGGAACCCGTCCAGCAGCTCGATGGCGAAGAAGTCGGCGCGGGGTTTGTCTGGCATCGCGCCCTGCATACTGCCATGGCTGAACAGCAGCAGGCCCATGGGCTCCGTGGTGCGGAAGTCAAAAGATATGGCGCCCGTCTTCTTTGTGTTCCACCTGGGTAAAGTCAAGAAGGCAGAGGGAGTGTCGAAGGTGATCGGCTCCAGGGCCTCCACGTCCTCGCAGCTGAATATCAGGTCGCCATGGATACTGATCTTTGGGTCCCGCTGTTCAGCCAGTCGTGACAGCTCCAGTCTAAACTCATTATTCTTGTAGACCACCTAATAAATGAGAGAGATGTCATGGTGAGATGACAGCTGAAGTCGACAATAAATTCGGTGCAAAGGTTTTATATTACTCATCATTAATTTAAGATTCTATATGACACAGCGGCATTCACAAGGACACGCCGTATTAGAAATGCGGTGAATCATCCCTGAACTCAGAGCGCAGGATCAAAATGTTTTGATTATTTCATTTCCTGGAGTTCAGTCCAATAAACTGGCACCTTTAATTAAAACAGACGTAGAAGTGCTTAATCTGTTAAAAAAGAACAACACCTTTGTCTGTCTCTATAAGATTGTTGTTATGTGCACAGGAAGAGATAGAGGAACGTAAATGATTGAGTATTTTACAGGTAGGCAAAGAAAACAAGAAGGCAGGAAGAGCTGAAATGCTCTTGGCATTTACATTTTAGACATTTAGGTGACTCACTAAAGATAAAAAATGTGTTCCGACAGTAAAATAATCTCAAATTCGGAGAGGAGGAATCACAGACCTAGCCGAACACAGCGACAAACAATTATATGTGTTTATATGAAGTAAAGGGAAACAGATTAAGTCCAAGCGGAGATGGTGAGTGGGAGAGAGGTGGACTGGATCCTTAAAAAGCGAACACACACAGTGCAGTATTTAAATAGGTAGTTAATGTAGGAGGGCATGAACTGGAGCGTGCGTTTTCTCTGCTGAGCTCATGATGTAGATAAGCTGTGGTGAGAAATCTGATTATACACTCCGGCTGCAGACCTGCCTCTGTCTTTGAGGATTGTCTGGATATTGATTTGAACATTTGGATCAATTACCGGAAACAGAGAGAAAGATATTTACCTTTAATACATAAAATACACCCTGTTTCTAATGACAGCATGCTACAGAATGCCCGCTCGTCTGTGCGGCCCTTTGTTATTTTCTGTTTCCATTCTGGGTTCATCAATATGCACAGCAGGAGACAACAATCCTTGTCTCATTTTGTTTCAGTTGTAAGTCACCCCGAGCCCTCTGTTATCTGCCACATCATTCTGTGGCCAGTCGCTGCCGGAGGTGACACACCACGCCGCACAGGGGACTAACAGCAGAGCAGAGAGACAATTTGAGCCAATATCACACTTCACACTGCCTCACTAATTAAGCAGTGAAATCAGATGGTGAAACTGACCATCGAGAAATGAGCGTAACAGGCAATTTTTAGATGGGAAGACAGTCAATCAAGTCACTTATACAAAGCGAGAGCTGTGTGTTAGCAGTTATAAACAGACAATAGGCGACATGCAGGAACATTCTCTTATATTTTCTCTAATTAACGGGAAAATAGTCAACTCCATTTGCATCAGATGTTCCACCCCATCCAAATCACCTCTCAGCTACGTGCTCTGAATGATGAATCCCACTTCATCAAATCTTTTGTGTGTGGCTGATTGTTTATTATGAGCATAGGTAACACACCCTAATCCTTAAATAAAGGCAGGTGTTGTGCCGTGTGCAGACAGTCTACTGGCCCCAAACATTTGAGGAGATGCCAACAAAAAATGGCTGTAAGAAAAATAAGAACTGCACTTGTATTGAATCTCAGGTAATGTTTAATAAATCAAGTAAACTTAGATTTTCCAGACATCAATACTGGCATTAGAAGAAAATCATTGAGCATTGAATAGCAGTATGTGGGTCATATTCACACAATCTTATCTCCCAATGATTTTTTTACTCATTATTGGGATCAATAGACGAATACGATTTGTTCCTACTATTTTTATCACAAATAAAATAATCATTAATACTGATGATCTAATTCCAATCATATTATGTTCATGCATTTTTCATTAATCTGATTTGTTTCCTTTCTGTGACAAACAATTGGAAGAAAAACTAGATGTTATTTCTCCCTGTGTGTCGGAGGAGGTCTCTCTAAAGCCCCTGTCACACTGTCCCGAAATTGACACCCGATGGACACACGATTAAGGAAATGTTCAAATTCGGCTCTGATCGTAACAACATCGGGCCATTCGTGAGGGCATCTTAAGCCATCGTATGACCGCCGGTGGAGTTTCTCAGGCTCCGGCAGCAACTTCGGGAGCGGTGGCAACATCTTTGGCATGCCAAAGATTGGCGCCCGATGTTGCTACGATCAGAGCCGAATTTGAACATTTCCTTTATCGTGTGTCCATCTGGTTGTTTTATTGCACAACAAAATCATGTAAACATATTATGTAAATAACCCAATTTGTGTTCTGTGAAACTAAAAAGGATATAATATATTATTTTGAAGGCGAGGAAGTTGTTGTTGCTATGGAAACAACATGACGGAGAAAACTTAATATCTTCTACATATAAAGACGGAGAAAGTAAAGAACAAAGTCTGAAAATATCAGTACAGTATCATAGTACTTTAACATAATTGTTTGTGTTACTTTCGTTGCAGTTGTATGTCTTAAATGTAATGTAAATGTTGCCTTCGTGTGTGGTTCGGGGCCATCTTCGTGCGAAATTCACAATTCCATATTCGTGTGTCCATCGGGCGTCAATTTCGGGACAGTGTGACAGGGGCTTTAGAGAAGAGCGATAAACAGAAGACATTGGCAAATCACAGAAATCTGATCGGCTGCAGACCTCCCTCTGTTTCTGAAGAATGTCTGGCAATGGATTTAAACATTTAGATCAATAACAGGAAACAGAGAGAGATACGAAATCTTTTAAAAGACGTTTACTCACATAAAACAGACCCGGAGCTTACTGTGATAAGAAATCATTGGACGGTCACAGAAATCGATGGGTACGAACAAAATGAGAAGAAATCATGGAAAGAAAATAGGAGGTGATTTGTCCGCATATTGCTTCCTGCGTGAGGCACAATATTTACAAATAGGAGCTAACAGAAAGGCATAGATGGCTGCAAAAAAAGCACAGTGTGACCTCTGCAGGGCTATTACATAAACCAAAGGACAATACAGGAAGTGGAATCCTATTTCACCAAATCAGACGCCTGTTGTATGTGACAAGGATTACAGTGTATTCGGACACACAAGAATAAAGCCCTTTTGGTGCCGAATGACAAAAAGCCCTTGTGTCTTTTATGCTCAAGAGTTAAGGAATAAAAGCAGTGTGAGAATGAAGACCTTCTCCGCTGCTAACAGCCGTGTGAGGACATTCTTCATAACCAAATTGTGCTCAATGTTTGAAGCATTAAAGTGAGGGACCCTAATGATGCAGGGTGGGATATCCTGTGGGCACACGTACTACAGACCAATAAGCGGGGTGACTTCAAAGACAAATTCATTTCTCCCGGTCCCTGGTAGTTGTTGTATTCCCGACACTCGTCTGAAAGTGGCCGTTATGTTTTCCTCTACCTGATGGCCTCTACCCAGCAGCCCTCACATTTATTATCAAGAGACATCATGAGAGATGAGTCATGGCCCAAACTCTGTGCGTTCAATAAAACAAGACAGATATCCCCCAAATAGAGGCACTGCTTATACAATAGATATTTTAGTCGTTTCTCTGTCCCGAATGGATTAAGATGAATATGTATGTTTCTCCATTCACAGCATTGTTCCTTACTTCCACTCAGAGCTCTGGATTCCACTGACCTGGCGTTGAACCTGCATCTCCAGGCAGAGCTGATCCCATTTGATCTGCTCTGCCATCGCGCGCCCTAAATACTGGGACTTTGCGGGCTTGTCATCACATCTTCATGACTCTTTATCCCTGTCATAGCCTGCCTGCATGCCTACAGTGCATTTGTGTGACTACGCACAGTAAGTAGTACGTATAAGCACCACCACCAGCCGCACCACCCACAGAGCGGGGGCTGCAGCATTGGCAGGGTGCTGGGACAATAACCTGTCCATAAATAACATCTCATTTTAATTTCAGTGAATTCACACTGCAGTTATGTAGAAGCTCCATTTCAAATGCGTTCAGCGCAGTGCTTGAAATGTTGATGTCATGTGCTTTATTAAAACAACATTAAATACAACTGTGGACTATGACATAAGAAGTAAATAAGTAAAGCCTAAAATAAGCCTCATATATAAAGAACATGCTTTGGTCCAGCAGTGCTTTCAGTAATAACAAATTATTGCGACAGCTGAGGCCGGGCCTGTTTGATGTTGTATGACACGCTAAAAAAGTCCTTGCTGATATCAAAAGCTCTGTTGAATAGTATTGTAGTTTAATGAAAAAATACTCACTCACACACACACACACACACACACACACACACACACACACACACACACACACACACACACACACACACACACACACACACACACACACACACACACACACACACACACACACAGGATTATAATGAGAGCCGCCCATATCCATGTGACCCAAGCCAACCAATCAATAGTGATCAAAAAAATATCTTATATTAAAACGAAACGCATTACTAAACACATTTCATGGCTCCTACACAAATATTAATGTACAAAAAAGAAGTTAAGACTGAACAACTAATCGGTTTCCTTTTGAGAAAATCACACATTCTCATTGCTGAGATTGCAAACAAACTGAATTATTGTATCTAAATGTTATGTTTTTGGTTTCAAGGGTAATCTTTTAAACCCCTAAAATGCCTGGGAGATCATTCTCTAACAAACAAAAAAATTGAATTGTTATCCTTTTACTTTTCTATTGTCATCTATGGTGGTTGTATGCAAAAAATACATTATTCAAATGATTCGGATATTAATGTATTTATATTTCTATCCTTGCTTTGGCGTTAGTAGTTATAATTATGTGTAAAAGCTGCTTAGTGCTGGTTTCAGGAAGTTAAACAGGGCATAATTTCCTCTCATATATATATATTTTAAATTGCTGTGAAAACATCACCGTCCAACATCTCAATTAATTGTAGTTTCGTGCCCCAGTTATCAACTTACTGGAGTTTTTTAAGGAATCATTTCAGCGTTTGGCAGAAGGTAATATTTGCCAGATTTGCTTTCTTAGCTTAGCATTATAGCTAGTTAGCATGTTGTAATTAGCAGTACTATTTTTTGAGAAATGTAGACCTGATGGTGGTGCTTTATGAAAAGTCATGGGATAACTAAAATCGAAACAACTCCTCCTGTAGGGACAGTTATTAATTGAAGCATGACGTCAATCCATTCAATAGTTGTCGAGAAATTTCAACTCAAAAACGCAAATAGTGAAGTAAGTAATGTTGGCGCTAGAGCAAACTTCAGGGGATCAAACACTGTACCATTCATTCCTTAGGAAACACCTACTCTAACGGCATCCATCGGAAAGTTGCTAAAAATATTTCAATGAGGACAAAATCTGGCAGACAACGGACGGAGGACATTGCCATACCCTAAGCCCTGCGAAGCTGAAAAGATTATGTAAATGTCTCCCTAAAATCTCTGTGTATGTGTCATCACTGAACTTCGGCATACAAATTACTTCGATTTTAGTTTGCCGACATAATTACATTCTGTGACTGCACAAAGTTGATGCTAAGTAGAACTCGATTGGATTGGAGTAAGAAAGTCTGAAAAATAGTTCTGACAGAGCATCAAAGTGTGGCACAGTCTCCATCAATATTCAAAAAGGTCTCCAATCTTCACATTACAAGGCACTGACAGTTTTTGTAATCTGCCAATGTCTCATCCCCACACATACTCTAAAGAAGCTGCTGTCTGTTACACGTTCCTCCAACTGGCTGCTGCTGGGACGAGCTTAGTCAGATTTTGGTTCTCTATTTGCCTTGCGCATTTTGTGACAAGTTTGCTCTGTCCTTGGTGCATTGTACTCCCTGCTGAATCCCATACAGCTGGGTTTAATGGGGATCAAGAGCAAAGCCTAATAATAGTTTATACACACTTATGGAATAAAAGGTATTATAGCCTTTGACAATAATGTCTCCGGTAGAAGAAAACTCATTTGTTTGAGCCGGGTATTGACCCCAAGGAAATATATACACACCAATCTGCCTCTTCGACACTTATGCTACTTTGCTCTTCACTATTTAATAATTCAATTCTGTTTTAGTCATTTCTTCTCCTAATCTGCCCTTGGTAAGTAAAAGCACTTCTCTCACTTTTGCTGCTCGGCTTTTGCTTTTTATAAGATTGCTCTCTTCATTAAATATTTGTAAGCAGAGGCTGAAATTGGGCATTAATCCATTATTCACTGCTTTGTCTATATTAATTCTGATGCCGAGTTCATGAGCCTTGCTTGCTCGAGATAATCAACGTGGCAGGTACGGGCTGGGGTTTAAAAAGCATACAAAATGTGGAAAATAGTCCATGCTGTGCTATTCAGGAATGAACATGAGGAGATGCATCTGTTTCTTATGTATATTAGTGCTGCATTCTCAAAGGGAGTCCCGCAGGAATCTGTAAATGCATATGCTCTCCACAGCTGAATGTTTCTCCTTCAAACACCCTACAGGAGGAGAATCGATATACGGACGCGAAGGGTGGTTTTCTATACGCAGAACATGCTCTGCTTATAGGAATGGGTAGTGCTATCTAAGTAGGGGAAGGATTGTGTTTCCAGTCCTCTGATGGGACCGAGGTCAGGCTGTACTCACATCTTTCAGACAGCCCAGGAAGTTGTTGCTGACCGGGGAGCCTGGCAGGTCGGCCGTGTTCAGACTGCCTCCGATGTAGAAGAGATCATCGGAGCCCAGCATGGTGTAATCCTCCTGGGTGTAGCCTGTGGTGGTGAGAATCCCATCCACCAGGATTGTCACCTAGAGGAGCCACAGCAGGAACAGGGTATGAGTAACATAAACCACAAGACATGGAGAGATTCTTACAAAAAGAACCGTCTCATTTTTTAATGCCTCATTTCTTGATTCGGGTTGAGCTCGCCTTAATGTCAGATCTTGAAGGCAATTACAAGACCAGCTTCTCATGGTTCACTCATCTCAGCTAATCTCTGTTTCTGATATCGTAGCAGGATGGCAGAGGAGTCAATATACCATAGATATACCCTCCACTGGAAAACATAATTGCTACATCGTACTCAGGAAATGTGAGATTAAAGATGTTAAGATAGCATCGTGTGTAATGGCAGCAGATGGATCAAGATCAATCCCATATCAGTTTCATCAGCACACAAACCAAATGTGCCGAATACAACCGAATGACGGAAAAAAGGCTATAGGAGAAGAATTGAGGTGCTTGTTGCCATGACAATAAGCCTACAGTTAACACGCATTCCTGCTCTAATGTAACAGCTCCCAGTGCGGCGGAAACAACTGGAAACAAGCAAATTAGTTAATAGGTATTCCTGTGTTAAATTGACTAAAGATCTCTAAAGAGGCAGGGGACGAGATGTTTTAAGACAATCACGATGAAATTTGTAATACAGAAAATGTTTTGTAAGTTTATAACATATTATAGATCAAGTCATATGTAAGAGAGGGGACTGCTCTCTCAGTTGTCAAATACACCTTCACTACACAATTATATATATACATTATACCTCTTTTAATTTGAAATGGAACAGAAAAAGGTAATCAAGTGGAATAACACATTTTTACAGAGCAATTGGCATCACAGATAATAACGGGATGATTTCTATATAAAGACCAAAAGATCAAAGAGATCTGAGCTACATTTCTGGAGTATGAATAAAAACTAGGCTACTACCACCACCACCGGGTCCAACAGACATGGACTTAAAAGCAAAATGTGTCATCCTTCGCCATTTGGGTCCCTCAATCAAAACAATAACAAAGACAGAGTTCTGTTGAGTCGGGAAGTAGAAAGGGATCATTGGAGTTCGTCTGTGCCTTCAGGTTGTGTCACTTAGGAGTCCTTTATTGTTCGGGAGGTTTTTACTGGGAGACAAATTAACAACAGAGGTATCCTCTTCAACAAAACAAACGAACCAGATGATTAAGACTCGAAAAATCACAAAAATAAGCATTTTAATTCTCTAAGCACTTAAGATATTCATTGCTATCGGGATGTTAAGAGCATTCCATGGAATATAACAAAAAGGTGTATCTCGAGCCGGTTTCTCAAACTTACCTACCCCACCTTTACATTTTCAATAAGGTCTTTAGTTTTCTCATGTGCAGCACCTCTTTTCACCCTCTGTCTGAAACCAGAGCCCAGTCTGCTCTGATTGGTTAGCTGGCTGGCTCTGTTGTGATTGGTCAACCGCTTAGAGGTGTCCTGCTCCTTAGCCTATCACGAACAATGTGTTGGAGCTAACCAATTGGAGTGCAAGTGTTACATATTAGTAATGTCATTATGTTACTAAAGGAAACAGATTTTAAGGTATGACCAGAACATTTAAATGCACAAAAACCTTTATGCCACACTACAGAAAAGAGAAAACTCCAAATGGGATGATATGGCTTCTTTAAAACTGGATAGAAAGTCAATTTATGACTCTACATTTCTGGCAGACAACCACAATGCTGAAGCACGCACAAAGGGAATACAGTACTATATGCTACTAAATGAAACAGCCCATTACTTGGATTAAAACGACCTTTTACTAGTTAATCGTTTTCTTTGAAACATTTGAGGTCATGTAAGAACGTGACTCAACAAAATATATAACATAGCTCTAGTCGTTTTTAGACCTTTTAATGAGGAACTGTTTCATCCTGTAATATACCTACTGTATAAGTAGATGAGAGTAGTAAATTGATGCGGCCTCATTGAGGACAAATTGCTCATATAAAAAAAGATGATCAATGTGTTCAAGCACTCAGGACTTTGAAAAGTCCTTAAACTGTATCTCAGCTCAACTTAACTTTGTGAAATGTGTGGTGTCTCGTGTGAAATCGCTGGCATGTTAAAAGCAAGAGTATAAAAACAAGAGAACGACCTGACAGGGTACGTTCAGGTGTTGGGTCTCTGAAGCAAGGTTCTGCCTCACCATTCACTGCTGCTGGCAGGTATTGATTTTTTGTCTATCCAGTGCTGAAGCCCTCAGTATCTTTGGCTTGGAAGGTGGACAATGGCAGGGCTTGATGGAGGGTTGATGATAATGCATGAAACTTCAGAAAAGTGCTTTCATGCCTGGAAACTGATTGATGCTGCTCTCTCTTTCACTCGTCTGAAAAAGCATGACTAGTTCCTAATGATGACTATATACCCTATCCATATCTATTTACTGGCATTTTAGAGGTGATGGTAATTGTTGAAAAAGGTTCAAATAGCATTAAGTGGAAGCAAACGGCAGGATAATATTCAGGTTGCAGTCCTGGCTGCTCGACCACCTTTCATCATCATTCCTCTTCCGTTTTTACATAGCCGGTGCAGTAATATTTGTGAGTAGTATTTAGGATTGTTTGCATGTGTGTTTGTGCAGCATTTGCCCATAAATAATGAATGAATGAAGTTTGCCCACAACAGTGGAAGAAAAGACAGATGGAGGGGAATATAGGGAAGGGTAATAGGAGAAATTCTAGCTTGAAAAGCTCCACCGGATCTAATAAAATGTTTCCAGAAGCCCTATCTTGGGAGTTACAGTTCCCCTATCTACATGTCAGTGGGGTAACTTATCTGAAGGGAAAGCAATTTACACAGGGATCAAATCCATGGCTGAAAGCATAAGTGACGTTGTAACCACTGGATTGCTCCTCTGGAAGCCGGGGTAAGGAAATAGATGAGGAAGAGGATGCAACTTTATATTCATCTCAATGTGAGAGGTACAGAATACATTGGAGATGATGACAGTTAGATACAATATAAGTCCTACTGAGGATAAGAAATGAAACATAAATGCACTGTGCCTGACAAAGCTCATTGAAACATATTTGGTCTAACCGTGGTTCAGGTATACATTCACTAAGAGGTTACTTTTTTGGCACAAAATTGGGTTGGGCCTTTTTGCTTTCAAAGGCTCAATTCTCCTAAGGTTTCAATATTGTAATAGAAATGATCCCCAGGGATGTTGCATTTTCTAAATGCACTTACAGTATACAGGTAGGAATATTGAATTGCAACTTGGCTGAAAGGAGCTCTGCTTGAGTTGTCATAAATTGTGTGCCTCCACTTTTTAGTCACACAGCCCAGTATGTGCCAATTTAGGACTTCTTCGAGGAGTAATATTAGACGAGACAATATGTTGTTTGCTGTTTGTTTCAGCAAAGCAGCTCTAAAAACCCACACCACTCTGCACGGCTCAGCACCAAACAGCAGACAGACACAGATAGCAACTAGCTTAAGAACGACAGGCGCTAATTAATCATGATATACATGAAGCATGTGACCGAAACGTCCATTGATGTAGAGAAGAAATAAATAGAGGCAGACATAAACATCAAATCTGTGTGGAGTGAAAATGAGACTGTAACCTTACGCAAATCAATGCCATAATATCACATTGTTCTCTACACTGTTTTCAGCTATTTGTGGTTTGACTGCTCTGTTTTAGTCACGCCATCTTGTTGAGCACTTTTCTTTCCTAAGTGGTCAACAGGTACCTGACGAGAAAGTTAGCGCTAACTACTTATCACGATAAACCTAATATCAGCGTAACATAATTCATGGCAACAAGGCATAGATTCTCTCCAAACAATATGACTAAAATGTGAGCTACATTCGAACGGAAAACTTGTAGGAGTTCAGAATTTTTAAGCAACCGATTGGAGGAGACCAAAAACGTGCAACAAGAGAGTAAATGTTGGACCTACAGTTGTTTGCCAGAAACACGACTCTTGTTTCTGGCTGATCAGTGACACTGTTACTCTGTAATTGAATGTGTAAATAAGCAGCTGTTTTCCAACAAGCTCTCCCTATCAACTTAAGTGGTGATAATAAGCCAATGTTTTGTGTTCACAACTTGTTTCAGCTGGCCAGAAAAGATGACCGTGAAATACTTGTTACTTAGGGGTAATGTTTTATGTATGGGTTTATTCAAACAACCCTTTTCTTTCTCATATTTGTTAATTGATTAGTAGAGTTCTAAGGTACCATATGATGGAGCTAAATATACTGCCGTTTTTATGCAGTCGGAGAAGAGCGCGAGCAGGGTAACTTTTAATGCTATACAGACACTTCCTGGCAGACAGTAAATTAGTTTGGGAATTGAGCCCTGTTCTTTGTCCAGTGGACGTTAATGAATATAAAACCTTAGGGCTGAGTTGTACTTGGCCGGAGTACGGTACAGTAGGTACAGCAGTACAATACAGCAATGACTGAATTCATTAAATAAAAGCTATGCCATTTTTTTCCCCATGACCGTTCGGACAGGGCTGCAAAGTTGAATTTGCCCTTTTTTAAAAATGGTCTTTTTGTCTAAGGGTAGTTTGTCAAGATCTGAACATCTGATAGACGAATATTGTCCTGTAAAAGGTATAAAAAAGACCAGACTGCAGAACTGTCATCACTGCTGCAAGACACATAAATGTGATTGATATTGCTGCATGAGTTGAGTCTTCATTTCAAAAAAGGTAAAAAGACTTTGCAGCAGTCTTTTGAAGACTGCAGAAGAAACCTGCCTCTGATTATAAAAAGGACACAGTGGTTTCAGCCAAAGCAATCTATTTTATGAGGAAGAGGGCAATGACCTAATATTATGTGCTTGTAATATCTATCAGAACATGAAAAAAAAAAAGGGAATTCAGCAGAGCAGAAATATTAATTATTCAACAGAAGCCAACACAGTTTTGTTAGTGTTTGCTCTGATAGTGTTACGGTAGAGTGAAGCAAGCCGGACCCAAATGCAGATAACACTGATAATACCTTTATTTCAAGGATAAGAATAAAACTCGGACAAACAGAACACTCCCCGGTGAACTCAGTCACAAACAAAAGACGAACCAACACTGAACACAGGAAGAGACAAGACTAAATACAGGGAGGGGTAATCACGAGACGAGAAACAGCCGGGCAGGGGACGAGAAACACAAGGGCAACAGGTGAACACAATCAGACAACTAGACACACCAGGGAAACTAACGACAGGGAGGAAAAACACAGGGAGAGGGACCAGACAATACACAAGGAGGAAAACATGACAGGGAGAACCGAACAGCAAAATAAACCCAATACAAGACATGCAAAACTAAAAACGTGACATACAGTAACAGAAGAATCGTGATAGATAGTGGACTACAATACCAAACCCTATTCCATGACACTGGTAATACCTGGACCTCATAACAAACTGATAAAAGTTAAAGATAAGTATTCATTCAAGCTGCAGGAGGCGTTTGATTTTTGGCGTCATTGAGCGAAAGCTCCATAATAATCTTTCAGCAAATGTCATTGAAGAAGGTTATTTTTAAAGGTCACCTATTTTGCAAAATCCACTTTTTCATGTCTCTTCTACATCAACATGTGTCCCCTCTGTGGAAAGAGATTCTGAAAGTTTCAGGAAAAAAGATTCTCTCTCTTTTTGTCCTGATCCATTTCTATAAAAACCTGTCTGAAAATGAGCTGATCAGATTTTGGCCACTTTATGATGTCATAACGATTTTTTGGCTCGTGTAACCATTAGCCAATCACCAACCAAGGTAACCCCGCCCCCCCACACCTTATCACCTGAATCTCCTCCTAGAGCACCATTGAGTTATTTTTAACCAAATGTCTCTCAGAGGGACGTGGGGGGGGCTCCTTATTTTCATCTAAAGTAACAGACAGAGAATCAGCACTTTGGAAACAGGGCTGAAACAGAGGGGATTATGGGATGCTACAATGATCTGTTTGGTATTTTGAGGGCAAACACTTTAGAGACATGTTTTGGATATATCTGAGACCTATAATAAAGATCCCCATGTAATGTGTATGCAAATCACAGACAGTAAGAGGTAAACAGTACACACCTGGCGGAGGTTGCGCGTCACTTGAACATCATGCCAGACATTGTCGTTGAAATTTCCTTTGGCGGGCTCCACCAGGGCCTCGAAGGCACCAGAGCCCAGGTTGATGACCAGCCACAGAGCCCCGTTCCTCAGGGACAGGTTGACGTAGTCAGCGGACTTCCCGGTGTGGAGCAGCAGGCCGTTCCTCTGCAGGGTGCGGAAGGACAGCGTGATCTCATCCAAACTGCTCTGGATGGGAGTCAGGGACAGGTTGTAGCTGAAGAACTCATTGCCTTTGAAGGTGGCCACTGACTCCTCCTGCCCTGAGAGGGGAGGAAAAAACATCTTAGATAATTGTTAAGGTCATCAGGATTAAGTTTAATTAACCTACTGCAGTTCATTAATTACTTTAATGTTGAGAAAGGAAAGGCTTTGATGAGCAATCATAAAAGACCTATAAATTATTATCATTCACCAAAACTAATTTGAACAGACAATGCAGGTATTTGTGGAGCTATTCACATATGCAAAAAATCACTGTACATTCTGATGATCGAATGTACTGCCAATGGAAGATCACAATATTCTGTGTGTTTGCACACCAAAGGATAAGTCAAGCGATATTCTACTTTTCTTCTAAAGTCAACAAATGACATGAAAAGACCAAGACTGACAATAAACTGGTCCTACAGTCTGTCTAGCCAAGGCCTCATTTTCATTGTGCTGCATATCTCTATGAAATAGAGTGTGACAAAAGGTTATTTTAATAAAGATGCAAATGGAAGCAACTCTTTACTGTGAGTTGATCCCACATACTCTGTGTTAGTGCTGTGTATTCTCAGGAGCACATCAAATCTTCAGCTGAAGTTATTTCCCAACAGACTTAAGTTATTTTTTCAAAATGTGCACTTTAAAAAATGAAATGTTTTCTTTAAGATTTGTTGACAATAAGAAAAAGTATTGAACATTTCCAGCCTTATCCTTTATTCAACGGTGACATTTAAAGAAAAATGATTGACCCATGAACAATATAAAGGTGTCAGTCTTGACTAGACCTCTAATTCACCACGCGGTTCCAATAATTTCCATCGAGGCTGTAAAATATACAGAAAAACCATGATGGCTTCAACTATTTCCCTGACTGCTCAAATAAAAGCAGTTTACAGGTTTACCCGGAGCAGAAGGTAGATGTTTGTCATTTTTAATCGTTTCTTGTAAATGTGTTCTTGGTGTCAAAAACCATTACAGATTACACAAAACCAATTTGATAATACAAGTCATTCAGAAATAATTTGGGTTTTAGACAACGATTGCCAATATAGGCTGAATGATAACTAACTAAATTACCTTTTTAAATAAAAAAAAACATATTGTAAACAGATAGACAGAAAGACACACATGTACTCTATAAACTACAATATGAATTTGGGGAAAATGTTACTATTTTGAGCAAGTTTTAAATCTTGAGACTGTGAAGTCATGCAACCACTTGAGTGGAGACAGCAGCAAACTCTTAAAAGCTGAACTTGACACCACAGTGGCAAAGGTCATACAGCTCGTCTTAAAATGTTGTTTTGTGATTTCGCAGACTCGTCCTGTGGGATGTGTCTCAGTGTATCGTGAACTGAATGCTGAAACACACTGGTCAGGCAAATTCAAAATGAATGATTTGCTGCACCATGGATTTAGCATCACTTTTACACACTATCTGCAACTTTGAGTCACAAAAGATATTGCACATGTGTTAAACACGACTAACGGTACGTCCACACGGTTCCGTCGCGTTGAAGCTTGCCGGTGGGCGTGTCTGGCACGCAACCAACAACCAATCACATTAATCTCCCGCCCCGGACCCACAAGCATGCGGTTTGATTGGCTAGCGCTTGTACTGGCATATGATTTGATTGGCTGGCGCTTCCGTCGACGCTTGAAAAGTTGAACTTTTCTCAACGTTTGAAGCGAGCAACAGAGGCAAAGCGACGCGATGGAACCACAATGCAGTTCGGCAAAGCTTGACTTCACCCCATTCAAAGTGAATGGGAAGCGTCTCCGTTGAAGCTCACGACGGAACCGTGTGGACGTTATATAAAGGTTTTGTGCAGTTAGCCTTTATTTGCTGCAATTATCTATGGGGCTAACTGGCGTTGTGAAGAGTGCCACTTCTATCCATACCTCCAGAAAGAAGAGATGAAAAAAGAAGAAAGGGAAAAATATCAGCCAATTATTTGGAAAAGGAAGGAGGAAGAGAGAATAAATACATAAATATAAATCAAATGTGTTCTATAATTACCGTACTTTTATTCATTTATTTTCATGTATTTTCAATTTTGTTATTCATTTAACATTCAAGACACAACTGTCATTGAAGCCCACAGTTAGCTAAATAGCTTATTAGCTAACGCCAATGATATATTATTATTATGCACTCCAGTGACTGCCAACTCATCGAAGACGCAAACACTATCGCTAAAGGTGCCTTATTAGGCTCATTTTCAGGAGCATATTTGTATTTTGTGCCTCTACTGTGACAGGTTTCCATGCTTTACTGTCCAAAAGTGCTTCAAGTTTCTCATACTGCCCGTGTTGCAGCACCTCTTTTCCACCTCTGCATGTGAATACACCAACAGAGTATATCATATATTCTGACAAGCACTCCTAATTTATTACAAACTACACAATTCCAGGTAAAACACTTAACCATTGTTTTACATTGAACCACATGGGGTAAAGTTAACTTGTGTATGACACAACTCTTGAACTCTTGAATGGGCTGTTTAAAGCCAGCATAGACACCCTCCCTTTTGCTTGTTTGTGAGATAAAGATAAAGCTATTGGACAAGCTGTTTCAAACTAGACGGATAAGCTGTCCCTTAAGCCTATGTTTATTTGTACAGTAAATGTCGGCTTCTGAACTCCGGGACCAATTTAAGCCAACAGGATCAGTGGTCCCATTAGTCTCTATTGTTTGAGCAGTGTACTTACTCATCTACTGAGCAGACAGCAACTTGCTAAGCTATTGTTTTTGCGCCTAAGAGTGGAGTTTGTCATTTGACTGATGTCGTAGGGGAAAACCTAATTACAGGTGCACAGTCAGCGTAGCGAAAGTCAACTTTTGGTGCTCGAGAACAAATTATAATGGGACACCAGAAGTATTGCGGCCTACTTTAGCAAAGTGCTTACTGTACATGTGCAGTTAATAACACCTCAGGCAGAGCTACAATGAATCTAAGGTCTCCTACAGTCCATATAACTAGAGTAGTGCATCACATCCTGTGCAATCATCTTCCTGTAATTGCCAGCTTTCTACAATGAACACGTCACTAGCAGACGTGTGGAAGTGTGGGGGTGTTAGAAAAGGCAGCGAGCCATATCTCTGCTTTCCTGCTTACCTTAGAGGAGGCTCATTGTCTGCAGCAACAATGTTTACCAGCTTGTGAAAAAAGCAATACTCGCTGTGTTTGCTCTGACACCAGATAGACTTTGGCTGGAACTCAGAGGAAATGCCATCAGAGACCCTGGCTGCAGTCAGTACTAAGAGAAGCAGCCTCGACACTTTAGGGCATACTGCATCTGAGCGGGAGCAGAGCCATCAACCTGCTACCTTGGCTGCTTTAAGACATTTGGGCAAAAATATCTCTCCTTGCAAACGCATGCCTGTATAGACAGAAAAAGAAGGCTCAGCAGAATATGCTAACAACATCATGTGTATCTTCTCTACTCAATGCCAGATCTAACTGCTTTCTGCTAGCCCTCCTTCGCTCACTGGCTCCATCTCACTATACATCATCCAATCTCCTACTTACTGGCAACCCCCTCCCTAAATTCAGGAAATGAATATTGCTCAGTCCTCGGGGCGCTGCTCACGGCCAATCCAAGAAAATATGAAGGGAGCTACAACATCCTGGGTGCAACGTTAACATTGAAATAGCTAATAGAAGCCAGCGTTGCCCCCATGCCCCTGATCATAAAGGATCATCTTTAAAGGGACTGCCCTGAGCTACACATTAGCTGCTTACTGTCACAGTAAGATTCACATCAAACACTGTGGAGGAAGAGGGTCTTGCCATCAGGTGGGAAGAAATGATCTGCTACTTCTTCCCATTAGCCCACCTGTTCCACTCTCCGCCGCAATTACACCATGCTGCAGTGGCCGCACCACATGAAAATGTCAACATGTGGATTGCTCATTAATATGAAGCTTTGCACATGATTAATTTCAAAGTGGTCTAATAGCCCGGGGCGCAGATGGCAGTTGCAGACTTCATCTCCTGCTCAGGGGCGGAGGTGAAAGTTGACGGCTGTTTGCACCCAAACATAAGTCAGGCAGTGAGCATGGGGATAGAGGGGCAGCAGTTCACTATTGATCTGGAGGCAGGGGCGTGCATAAGCTCTCGAGGTGTTCATTGAGCTACACCTGTGCCTCAGTAAACCCACTATTTACTGTACATCTGTGTGTACACACTAGAAGAAGCGATCTGGGGCTGAACCACTTTCCCAAGTCTGCGAAAAGCTTTTAATTCCTTCTCAAAACTGGGCATCTGTGGCCAAATGAATTCAAATCAAATCAAACTACTCCCTTGAGTGTGCCCCAGTCTAAGGCTAGGACATTGTCGAAGTTAATAATACATGTCTGTCAAAGGATTAAATGGCTGAATACAAATTGAATGCTTCATGTATATCCCATGAAGTCAGATGCACTTCCCATTGTAACTAATCGTTGATGAGCTTCGCCTCGCAGGCTTATTTCTAAGAATCTTTGATTAACAATCAATTACCAACTTCTCCTTATTGATGCATGAAATGGAGCAATTACATGTTGGCTCTAATTTCATGACAGATCACACTGTGTTTGGCCTTTGGGACTCACTTTCTATATGAGTTACTACATATTGTACACAGCATTGTTACTCTACTGTAGCAGACATCATCATTGAGGCAGTACCAGCAGCATACAGTAAATCCAACTACATTCTTATCTCTGCATACTTGTCAGTTAAAGCAGTAGCTTAAATTGAAAATTATCTTTTGGCCTTGTAAAGACTGATTACTGCTTCTGTCCATGAACAACTTTGTCCCAAAGCGGGGAACCAAAGAATCCAGACATTAATCAATAATGTCACAGTCAAGTATAGCCTCAAGCTCCACCATCTATAGTGGGGTGAAAAACGGATGTAATCACACGGAAGTATTCTCTTAAGCCTTTTCATCTACTATAAAAGACGTCAATATTAGCGTTATCAGCTCAACGCCAGAACATCTATATGAGAACACCCAGGGTACGGCCTCACACTCTTCTCATCTTCACTTCATTTGTTCAATAGTGTGAGTGGGAACAATGTTATTCAAACATAAGAGCTATTTCCTCTTAAATCCGCAGGGTACTTATAATAGTATCTATGGATATTTGGTTCCGAAGAAGGAAATCAGAATCAAATGTATATTCCTTCGACGATCCTGTAAAAATGTCCCTAATAAAAGGAGCATTGAACGATAACCAAACAACGAAGCTTAGTCGTTTTTAGAGGGTTAATTTCTCAAAATTGTATCAAGGAGAAATGTCATATCTACATATAATTTAGCTGATGAGGAAAAGGCGAAATCAAGCAGTGTATTATACTCTCAGTGAGAGCCAAGCCTCTATGATTAGAGACAACACTGATTGCCATGGAGACAGGATGGTGACTTTTGTCTGAATCTCACAAAACGTGGCAGAAAACACAAAAAATAAACACAGCAGATTTCACGTAGATCTGTGCCACCCGTATCATTCATTCAAAATGACAACTTTCTCTAATGCTGAAATTGCTCCTAATGTTGCAATGAATACATGTCTTTCTTCCAATGTTTGTACTTACTTCTTAGAACCTTAATTCTACAACGATTATCAATGAATGTATTCTGTACTTGAGTTAAAAACCGTTAAGAGAGTTTGCAATTGATATATTTTATTTCTTCTTGAACCCAAATTGAACATCAGAGTAGTGTCTCTTGCAGGCTCTTAATATTTTACTGGCAGAAACCACCTACTGTGCTCAAACACTTTCTTCCATCAGTCATTTTAAATCGGTACTTTTGTAAATATGAAACACATTACCATAACTGCGATGTAGAAATCATTTGAAGGGAATGTTATTTGCAACCCACTGATCAATGATCATAAATTAAAGCACATTTGGAAATAAGTACTATATTTTAACTTGATGAAAATCCTAATTCTGCATACAACTATTTCTAGAAGGCCAAAAAATATATATCTTTTGAGTGTTTATTTAAACAGGAAGCGTCATTAGCCGCTCTCGTGCACATCTGAGACACCTTTTGCATGTAATACCCTTTTTTCTTTTAAACCTGTTTCTTTCCTTTGAAGGAAAACACCATGAAACCAAACCGAAGAGATGCTATGAGCATAGATGGATTACCTTGGCGAAAAACTGTAGAGGTCAAAGATGATGTTCCAGAAGCTCAGTCAGTGGTCAGGACAAGGGTTTGACGGACACAGATTGAGTGAGTAGTGAGTAAAACATGACAGGAAGCAAAAAACGAATAGGCAAGTATATGAAAAAAGAGGAGAGGAAATATTAGTGCAGCACAGTTAACTGAAATGATTTCAGGGGAAGGGGAATGTTGTGATCAGGTGGCTGGGAAGGAAAAGCAAAACCAATAGACCCCATACCTTGGCGGTTTAACATCATGTGCGCCAGACCTTGAGGGAAAGAACAGAAAAAGGATACGAAAACAGGAAGTTCATAAAGAGGTTTGGGAGAACAAAAGCATTGTCACAATGTTGGACTGCAGTTTGTGACAGACATCCTGGGGGCAGGTACGGATGTCAAAGTTCAAACTAAAATATAAAAGGGGAAATAAACTAAAAACAGACAAACATCTCAAAAGGGAGGAGAGGGAAGGCAAGGAGAGAAAAAAACATCTTGATCGGTGCAACCCTTACAGGTAGTTGCTCACACAGATGCTTTTTTCTAAATGGAACACATACTGTATGTTTACTTGATGCAGACAGTGTTCGAGATGTATCAGATAAATCCTACTTTTATAATGACGTTTAAATATTACACTTGGTAACACTACTTCTATGATCTCCAACAGGGCTCCATAGGCGTCTCATCTCTACGCGCTGACATGGCGGCCTGCCAATCCATTTGATCCTATTTAACATTCAAATGGCAGCGTTTTATAAAAGGGCAGATGTGACACCATTCCTTATCCAATAAATCTTCAGCCAACATCAGTGTTTCACACAGGATTTACCATCTAATGGGGCTCGCTAGGTTTAGGTGGTGGAACACTGATATAACAACCACCATGTAAGAGGTCAGCCGCTAACGATCTGCCACACTTTACAAGTTCACTCTGAAAAAATAGGGGGAAACAGGAGAATGGCGCTGCAAATTCAAAATGCATTAAAGCCTCACTGATTTTAAAGTATCGTAAAGCAACCAGCCGAGACAAGAAGCTGATTAAAATCGCAGATGAAATTGGCGTTATCAGTGGCATCATATATGTGGGTCAGCAGGTGCCCACTAGAAAGGTCGATCCTCTATTCACATGGCCGATTACCCAAAGAAGAAACACAAGAAGGCGACATAGACCTCTCGCAATATTAGTCATTACAAGAAGAAAGGCAAAGTTACGGGATGTAGTAAAAGGAGAACATGTATATGTACTTTCACCCAGGAGACCGGTGTCCCATGTGAAGCTAATGAGTCTTTGTGTTAGACATTAAACCTCACTTTCATTATAGAAACATGGATAGATGTTTTTCTGAATCTAACCAGGTCGTTTTGTTGACAAGTGTTTTTGTCTGCTTACAAAACATTACGTATCACTTTTGCAAAGCATTAGGTGCGGTTTGGGTTGTCTGACACATTAGACATATAGCCGTAACCGCTGATAACGCCCATTAAATCATCTGATAACATAATAAAAAAAGAGTAGTAAAATGGAGGAATTACTACTCTTACAAACTAACACAGACAGGGTACCACAAACCAAATGTAACATAGTACTTCCCTGGACTGTATTGCAATGCTCATTGCTCATACAGGGAAGAAAAAGAAAAGCTATATTAAATCTATGGACACAGCAAACTGCAATTACACCGCAGCCTATCAATCTCCGGATATTGCTGAGCCTTTGCAGGTGATGGTGTATAAAAGTCCATCTGGTCGCACTGCACACACTGCGGCGATCAAAGCCAAATTTGATTGAGGTTTTGTGTCCACCACCACCAGTCCCTCACTCAGTCTGCTAAGCACAGCCACGTACACACCTCTCAATACCTCAGCCAGCAATTATAAGCGTACCTTTACTATTGCCAAAAGAGGAGAAGGGGATAACACAATGCAACACTTCTGCTGAGTGCCGGGTACCTGAGTCCCCTGTGCCAGCCAACACTAACAGCTCTCTCCAGTGCATCAGCAACTCGCTCACAGTTCAAGTCCCAGTCAGTCATTAGGTAAAATCTTGCGTGGGGGCAGGTGGGGCTATACCTCTCTAGCATGCTCCACTGAGCAAGGCTGTCCATGCTGCCGCTCTTGGTGAGAAATGGACATGATTACCCCTGGGAGGGTCCTTGCCTGCCAACACGTAGGCTTTTGATACAGTGTGTCATTGAAAAGCCAGTGACTGAGCCTCTGCTTAGACAGGATTTAACCACAGCCCTGTCTACGCAGCAGACAACGAGCTGCTGTTGGCACCCCCCCACCGTGGCTCTGCATGCTACATGACGAGCCAACGTATGTTCAATCAAGGCATAATCAGCGATACCTTTCAGGTGATTCGTACACGACATACTAAGATGGTGTCTGTATTGTCTGCTCGGTGGAATTATGACATGGCAACCAGGGGCAAAAAGGGGAGCTTGATGATCATTAAAAGTGACAGACTCTCCCAGCAACACCCCATTCTGACACAGCAGGAGGAATCTGTCTATTTTCTATTCTTTATTCCATTTCTTTGTCCTTTTCAATGCAGGGATGTGGAGGGCTAGACTTCCTGTTCATCAACTAATAAGCAGCAGGCACGAAGCCACAGGCCATTGCTTAGTCATGCCCAGTCTATCTAATCATGACTCAGGTGATTTCTGCTATGATAACAGTCCGAGGGCGAGGAAAACTAACCCAGGCTTTTTGACTTAAAGGTGGGGTAGGTGAGTTTGAGAAACCGGCTCGAGATACACCTTTTTGTTATATTACATGGAATGCTCTTAACGTCCCGATAGCAATGAATATCTGAAGTGCTTTGACAACAAATCCATAAAAAAATTTGTTCGTGTGTGTTGTGTTGGAGGAGGGGCTCTGTAAGGAAGTGGTTGTGTAATTTCAAATTCTAGCGCACTCGAGCTGGTTTCTCCAAAATGACATACCCCACGTTTAAGGAGTCTGGTGCTGGTAACCAACAGGCCACGATGGGCAGCACATAAGAAGTGCCTCAGCTAGAAAAGTCTAACTCAACCATCGAGCTGTGAGTTGAAGAAAAGTGGATGGGGAGTGGTGCTCTCGATGCCCTTCGATATGGGCAGCCAACCATTGAATATGCTGATCCTACTTGGCTGAGCCCTCCATCTAAATCTCTGTGCGGCAATGCAGAGATAACCGGCTAGACCTGTAGAGCCCCGATGGAAGGGAAAGCCTGTGTGAAAATAAACCGCCATCCCTACCAGTAATCTAGCATTTTGTTATTTATAGATAAGAGGCAACCCTAAGAGTATAAGCAAGTTTAAGGGCAGACGGAAATGTATAACCCAGCGATGGAAGCTACATTTCTTTTAAATGTTATACCTTTCTTTGGACTTATTTAGCATTCAGCTGAGAACGTTTTTACTCCTTATATTAATATATTATGTTATTATTATTTACCGTGGTCTGGATTGATCACGACTCAAGTCAGATGTTTAATTTAAAGGAAACCTCGCATTATAAATTATTTATTGAATATATGTTTCCGCCTGATATGTTGTTGACATTTTAACCTCCTAGCCTTCTTCTGCCCTCTTCACTGGTTTATAGCACTTAAAAAGCTCAATGCATCTTGTTTTTGTAACTGCATGTAACATTATGAACGTTTGGAAATACTAAATTTCCTGTAATTTAATTAACTTGTATTAAACAAATATAGCAGAGAAAAAATAACAAACATGCAGATGTTGAAGGACCTCTCAGTCATTATTACGACGTTAATTAATGAGCATCTGAGAAGAAAGAGCCATTGCTCGAGGATTAGGATTTGCCAAATGTGTTTTTCTGTGAAAAGTACAGTATAACACAGCCAGTTGTAATGAGGGATTAGACCAAGGTCACTGCAGCTGAAAGATGCGAGCCCACCAGGAACAACTGTGTCCCGTTTAACGAGATTTCTATACCTTCTTTGTCGTGCCTGTAGTAGTGAGTCATCACTGTGTGCTTACACATTAAAATTTGAAGGCAAAGCTAAACAATGACAATGTGTTAGCACTTGACACGTGTGGAAGGTTTTTCTTACGTATTGGAAATATTTTTCTTTCCTCTGTATTTGAGGTGGCTGTCCTTATCTCTCTTTCACAGACCTGTTTTTTTTTTTTTTTGCACACAGAACATCAGAGGATGCTGCACTCTTTCGGCAATAGAGCATGCCCTGCCATGGCCTTTGTCCGCACAGATCAGCGGGAGCCCATGTGCTGCATACTGTAGATGAACAACTCCGAAGACTCACCTGCTGTTCCCAAGGTTTATCTGCCTCAAAGCAGTTCCTCAGATAAATAAAGATAATTCCTGGACCACTTAAAACCCACCGCCAAAACCAAATATAGCATATGGGTTACCACGTTTGCCACCCCTGGGGAGAGGAGCTAATGCATGGATTTGTTTACTCCCGTTGCTGCAAGGACATCAAAGACTTGCTGCGGGATAGCGCATGGAGTTGTATGAAGGCTAGAAAATAAGGCATCTGGTGATTTTGCTGTTGTCATTGTTGTTTTCGTGCATTGTGCATTGGGGATTGTCTCCATGGCAAGCTTTAATCCAATAAACATTGTGATGTGCTCTCTTTGCAGAATGTCATTTAATAACGCATGCCTTTTTCCTGTGAGCAGCCCCGCGCCATCTTTGGTCTTATTAAGAATGATTAATGCTTGTGTTTGGAAATAGTGCCGCGATGAAACCTATTAACTGTTACTGAAGCGTACAGCCATATACCCCAGTCACTAAGTCTTAGTTACGTGCTGCTTTAAAAACAGAATCTATACCAAAACATGTATCCTCTTAAAAAATAATAATATATCATCTGTTTAATCGTTTTGTTTGTTGAAATAGAAGCTATTCTACCCGAGTGACTTTTTACTTTACTGCACTTTGAGAACCCACAACGCATGAAGACAATAACATCTTTGCAGTTTTGTTCGATTTTGCTGTTGCACGCCAAATGCAGGATTTTGGAGAGCAGGTGTGCATGGGTTGGTGCATTTTGAGTCAGTCACAGTGATTTATAATGTGCAGTGGTTCAGTGCACACTGGCTGGTCTCCTGAGCCTGTTGGCTGCCCTTTCACCACAACCAGCAGTCCTTAATGGGGAGATGGATGCTTCCTTCTGATGCCGACTAAACAAATGTCCCTCCTCGCCTTCAATCTTCATCTCAGGTTCAGTATGTGCACCTCATTAAGCAACCCAAGTTTAACCATGTCCGGTAAAAATCTGCGAATAACGAGGGAAGTGTGTATTTTCCTCTTAAAAAAATGCACCAATGAAAATTCCTCATCATTGTGCAATTCATATTATAATTCGTCTCAGTTACCTGTCACATTTCGCCATCATGTTTAAGTTCAATCCACATATTGAACTTTAATCATAAAGGCATGATGATTTAGAGAAACCTAAGATTAAACAGCAGTTTGGAAGATATGCTCTTCAGAGAAAGGAAAAATACAGAGGCTATAAATAATAAAACAAAGCATGTCTGTACAGTCATTTTTTTTGCGATGCAGTATATGAATGCTCCCCCTATTGAACACCCACGTACTGAAGAGACCTCTCCAGTCACCTTGAGCAAATGTTTATATATACAATGAGCATTCAGCACATTAAGTGCTTTTCCCATTGTGACCTTGTGACCAGCGATAGTATATCTCCTTTCAGCTTAATTTGTTGGATGTCAGAACTGCAGTCCAAACCAACAATAACAACCTGATAATAAGCCAACACACTCTCACACACTGAGGCTGCGGGTAATAGCCTTTGCAAATAAGAGCATCATGAAAAACTAATTATGCTCATCATTATGCTCGTTATGAAATACATTGTCTTACCTTCTACTTCTTTCTGGACAGCTGCAGGAGAATCAAAACAACAGACATGTTTAATGATGTTTTGCTAAACCTTGCTGCTTCCATCCATGCCAAGACATGCATGAAGACAGACATGAGAATCAGCCAGAGCCTGAAAGTTTGGTCCTTTGTTCGACCATTAGAAAGTATAAGTGGTATTTGATCGGATATATAATCACATATAGTCACAGTCCAGAGGCAGATTGATGTCTTTCAACAGTCGGAAAGCTAATTCTTGTACTTAACCTACATACTTAATCGTAGGTTGTGATTAAATACTGTATTTGTGGTTAATATAATGATGTACTTAGTTGTAGAGTTAGTTAATAAGGTGCTCTAATACATGCAACAAAAAGGTTTGCAGTTTGCTTGTCTATTTTTATAAATCATGCAAGGACCCTCCTTTGCCTTTTGCACCTCCTGTGACCCCTGACCTTGTGGAAAAACACTGTAGAATAACCAAGATAAACGTGTATTATTATAAGAGGTTTTGGCCAAGAGGAAAACATCTTTGACAAATCACTAATTTCCATTTTTCTCATGTATATGCAAGTTCCAAAGATTATTTGTAAATGCTAATTTACTGTCCTCACCCATGTTGTGGCCTGTTGAATGGATCTCTATTGAAAACATGCAAACATTTCACACATTAGGAAGCTTTTATCGTGTTTTACTTGTCAATATAATTGCTGAGAGCCGGACTGGCACATCCAAGCAGCCTTTAAGTACTGCTGCGGTACACTTTGACCTGGATTGCTTTAAAGTGGGATTTATTGATTATTTTCCAGAGCCTAATGAGTGTTTTAGACCATACAGTATACTTAGAAGGTGATGTTAATAAGGGATTTAACCATTTGAAAGCTATGCTTATCATAAGGCCAAACGTTTTCAGTTGCAAAAGTACATGTTCAAACGAAGGTCAAATCATGAAGGGAAATCACAATGTGTTATGGATGTGCTTTTAAAAGAACATCCATAACATTCATCTGTTTGCAACTTATATATATATCAATATTCCAATTACTTGTAGACTATTCTACACTATCTCTATTATATTCTATTTTATTTTATTTACTTGCACTATCTGTTTTATTGTGTTACACAGGCCTGTGACCTAAGCTTTTCATTGTCATGACTACACTGTAGCTATGTACAAATGACAATAAAAGCCTTGAATTGAATAAAAAAAGGTGCAAAAGTTGACCAGAACACAAGATAATGTAATAAGGTGGTTAATATTCATAAAAAACCACACATTACATGTCTGTCCCCAGATCAAACAACACAAAATACTAATAAACTCACGGTACGTCCACGGTACGGCTCTCCCAGCTTGCACGCGGTTTGATTGGCTAGCGCTTGTACTGTCAGATTTGCATAAACGGGATTTGATTGGCTGACGCTTCCAGCTCAGCTTCAAAAGTTGAACATTGCTCAACTTTTGAATCCTGAAAATCCTGAAAATCCTGGAAATCTTCGCTTTGCTTCCCCACAATGCAGTTCGGCGAAAAGCGAGGCAAAGTGACGTCACCCCCATTCAAAGTCAATGGGCAGAGAAGCGTTGGAAGATTTTTTTAAAGCTGCTGTGTGGACGTACCGTCATGCTTGAAATATATTCTAATACAAAAAGAAGGATGTTCTTCTTACCTTCATGGCAGTACCTTCCCCTGGAGCTGGTGTTGATACAGTCACAGAGGACCTCTCCTTGGCTGACGGAGCACACACCTTTGTTGCATGGAGAGTGTATGGCACATATGTACTCCAAATCACTATGGACAGCTTGGCCATCCAGAAGTAACGGTAGCGCCTCCCCTAGTTTCAGATTGGCTATAAGGCCGTGGAATGGCGGCTCGTACTTAACCGTGCTGGACGTCAGCGCGGACAGACGTACATCGGGGGAGATCCCCCCCACGTACAGGTCGCTGACCACCACCATCTCTTTTCTCTTGGACTTCACCTCAGCCACTTTCTCCTCGTTGTCCACCACCAGCCGGGTCTCTCTGTGGTTACGGGAGAGGAGGACTCTGTGCCAGCGCAGGTCGTTGATTCTCGTCTCGGTGTGCAGGGAAGCCGGCTCGGCACAATGGATGGTGAAGCGCATGTGGACCCTCCCGTCTGCGATGAGAAGCTCCAGGAAGTCGCAGTTCCCGCCATCATCCAGATAGAGAACCAGGGCTTTGCTGATGTTGGTTTTGAGGATAAAGCTCAGCTCACCTGTCGCCTTGGCATCCCACTGGCCATAGCGGGTCCACTGCCCAGGAACACCCTCGTACTCCAAAGCTTTTGCTGTTAGCACCAACCCGGCTAACAACAGTAACCAGGAAGCCTCGTCTCTACACCTGCCCATTGTGGTTACTATCTACACCTACTGGCTCCCCTGTGGTCTATAATTCATACAAAATCCAACAGAGCTGTGAGAAGATAACGTTATCTAGTGTTTACACTTCTTAGCTAACCACCAAAAAAACTTAGCAGATACAGGACTGCAAATCCCACATGCAGTGAATGTGTTTCTTTAGCCTTGACTGTCTATATTGATTTTTGTTGCCATCTCTCCATGGGGGACACGTGACAGACTGAACAAATGAGGCACATCTGACAACACTTTGCATCTACTTTGGATCGGCAGAGAAAGAGAACCAACAACACAAGTGATCCACAAAACAGTGTGCTTCCTCGTCGTCGCCATCCAGTGTCTTGGCCTCCATCCAGCGCTGTTCCTGTCAGTTCTCCATGGGTTAGCTAAGCACACAGCTTAGGTACAGCCTCCATTCTGCTCAGCCTCCCAACATCCTAAGACATAAAAGAAGAATGTGTTATTCTACAGTCATTATAAAAGACATGGAAGTGAACTAGAAAATGTGACAAATAGTTAAAATGGTCAAGAGGGAAATATGGTAGGGGTTATTAGCAGTGGTTCTAATTTAGATTGCATTAAGATGGCAGCTACAGCCTATGGAGTCCAGAAACACGATGCCTAAGCCGAGAAACATCTAAATCCTGGCGCCCCACCTCATGTCTTAGCATCCACGCAAAAAAGGGAAACAGAGGGATTTCCAAAAGCTGGTGGAACACCTTCTGATTCGTAAGCACCCCCACATATGTTTTGGTTCAGTCCATGGTCTCACTAACTTCAGTGATGTTGAGCCCCTTGAGCCCTCTGCGCTTCCTGGGATCAAGCTAAGACATTACAGCTAAACAACACATGCAGGCCAGAGGCTGGGGGTGATAGAAAGGAAGAGGTCTGTGTTAGAAACAAACCAACACCACATTCAATACTTTATAACAAAAGATAGTGCGCCTCACAGACCTCAGGACACAAACAACATGGGAACCTCCCCTGGCTCATTGTTACCATTTATAAAGGCTAAAAACTACAGCCGGTGACCAACCGTGTGGTTTAACACAACCTATTCCAGGAGACATCATTTGTATTCAACGGATGATGGTGGCATTTATTTTTATCTTTTCACTATTAACAACAATTTCCCTAAAGAGAGCAGAGCCAATAATGAATTTGCTCTACAGACAAGTGCTGTCTCTGTAGCCAGAGACTATACAGCTCATGCCTCCGTGCCAAAGAACTCCACTGCTGTCCAAAACCCATTAAAAAAACATAAAAGAGCTATACCGTTGTGTGATCCAATTAAGTGATCAAAAACAAAATCAGCAGCTGTAATCTGTTACAACCAATTTGCACGAAAGAGTGGAACAACACTGTCGTTCTCAAGGATGCCTCGATACTATACTATAGGTCTGTCTCCTCTTCGTTAGGTCAAGTTTAAAGCTTTTTCATTCTGAATGATTTATTTCCAAGAAAGGTATGAGTGCTTTTCCTAGTTCTTTTTATATTTCTTTAATTTTATTTATTTATTAAAATGTATTTTTTTTTTTTTAAGTTTAATTATATATTTTTTTCAGGAAAAATGAAAACAGTAGCATGTCGAAATCCTAAATGTAGGGTATTCAAACCTGTGACTGTTTATACAAAGAGCAGATCTATGGGATACCAAATATCTATAAGTGCTTTTGGATGATTCTTTTTGGTGAAACGTCAACATTACATTATTACATGTCATTCGCTTTTATCCAAAGCGATTTACCGGTACATACATTCAGTACTGTGGAAAATCCCCACAGGAGCAATTTGGGGTGAAGTGTCTTGCCCAGGGACACAACGACATGCTGACTGCAGTGGGACTCTGATTCGAAGTCCAGCACACTATCCACTGAGCCAAATACATAGCGCGTTAGTCTATCCTCCCAACAACAAATTGTAAGTCAGTGTTAGTCGACTTCCAATTTACTTAGTTGTGAATAAAGCCAACCATATTCCAAGCCACACATCACACATCTGATCAAACTCACAACATGTTTGATTGAAAATGCAGTGTGTATACTTTGAATGTTGAGCTTTCTGCTCTTGACATTCACAAAGTCATCCTCATCAAAGAGAAAAGGAAATACAGATACTGTAGAGGTTTACATAAGAGGTTGATCCACTCCATATGTATAAAAATACAAATTAGCTCGAAATACTATATCAAGAAAAAGCTCTGGGGTTTGCATTGAACCATAAAAAGAGCTAATTTGTCTAAGAGCAATAAATATGTTTTATGGTACGTTACACCATGCTCTCTTTCATTTATAGGTCTTTCTCAACTAGCAGCAGAAGTATTTCATGCAAGTTTGGCCCGATTTCATCTCTGCCACAGAGAGATATAAAATATGAGTTTGAGTCTCCAGGGAATTACAGCCTCAATTGGGCCTCCTGCTGATGAGGGACTGCCACAGCCAGGTTTTTTTGCTAAAAGTAGATGTCGCAACAGAGAGTGCATCACAGCAAATAAATCAAAGTTTTATCCTCAAAGTATTCGAAGGCTCCAGGCTGGGAGAAACCCCTTCTGATAGACGGGTTTATCATGGGAATTGCTGTATCCTGGAAGGTCATAAAAAACTGACACCCTCTTCATAGGATGAATTGCAATTTGCCAGGGTCAGGTGCGGTGCGTGAAATGAATCTCAGAACCTGTCGCAGTTGTATATACAATACGTGCCTGAGTTCAGCTCGCTTTGACTCAGACAAACAACACATTAGTATGATTATATGTAAAAAGACAAGGAGGCATGTGGTGCTTTAAGCTTCATAACCTCGCCACATGATGAACTATTTTTGCAACAACTCCCATTGAGACGCTCATTAAGAGTAACTTGGGCTCATCATTTTACCATTATGTGGGAGCAGATATATCCACGTGGGTGATGATGATGAATAATAGTTATAATATGTGAGGAATACATAAAACAGAGATACAGTATGGCCTACCATATCGATAGACACTGATGTTGCCTCGCTGGAAAGCATAAGGTCAAGTTTATTTCAGTCGCAACGAGCTGACATCACATGAAACAGGCCCTACTTTAGTACAATTATTAATATAATATATATAAATAAATATATAAATAAAAAATATATATAAATACAATTACATGTCACTTGTTAGACGCTTTTATCCAAAGCGAATTACATACTCAATACTGTGGACAATCCCCACAGGAGCAGTTTGGGGTGAACGACATGCTGACTGCAGTGGGGTTTGAACCCGTGACCCCCTGATCCCAACACCAACGCACAACCCACTGCGCCACACGCCTCCCTAAAAACTCACACCATATATTATATTCAATTCTAACATTTCTGTTAACATAGCCACAAGACTGGCATGGAGTCAGCAAATGTACATTTTGAATAATGCAGAGCCTACAACTTAATAACAAAATAAATAAGATCTAATTACCAAACAAGGGAAAGCGTAGATCACCAGCAGCCTCAACTACTGATTGAATCTACTTGCAGTGATTTGTTTGTGCCATTTATTCCTCTGTATCCGTTTTGTTTTTTTATCTTTGAAATCCCCCATGTTTCCGGTAGGCATCACCCACTCATTTTTATTTTTGTTTCTTTTCTTACATCAATTTCTGTAGCACTCAGAATATCTCAGGGACTATTAGGCTAGCACACACAGGGCAGATGAAACATACAATGGCCTGTTTTCCAAAGGGACTTTTGAGAAGCTGCTGTATAGTCTGGTTATTTCCCTGCACTTGTTAAAAAACCGTGAACCTGATGCTGCACACATCTTGAGTTTAAACAGTTGCATGTCATGGGAATGTGATAACTCTATACTAACATTCAGACTCTTATAGAAAATCAATCTCGCAGTAACCCTGTAATGACGTGTATTTTTTAGCAGAATAGGAAGAAAAAAAGTGAACTTTCTCTAACCTTTCAATGTTTTTCCAGCTTAAACTAATGTCTGTCAGAGAGTCATTGACTATTATGTATAATGTGAGGCTTGTGAAAAATCACAAATAAGAATCTCCATATTTATACACAGCATTGCTCACCCTACTGAATCAATGGTACTTGTATAACGCTGACTCCTAAAGTAAATAAATAATATCAATCTAATAAAGTATAGAGAGCGGTTGGTGTGTGTGGCCCGGGGTCAGCTGCTCTGCACATAGGACTACAATTTAAAAAGCGTCTCCTCTAAATTTAAAGGCTTCTCGCACTGAGTAACATGCACTTTCTTCATTCAAATCAACAGGCCAATTACCTATCATGGTCAAAATGTGGTGGGGGGGACCAGTGGTGGCCAATTAACCTCATTTCAATGCGCGCCCTGTTCTACCCCAGCCACCCTCCTGATACACACTGCGGCGTATCCTCCACCACTAAAAAAAGACCTGAATTGATCATTTACTGTAAAGCAGTTCTGTTGGCTTTTTTGTTGGCAATTCCTGCAGAATAGTGCGGTGGATTTTTTTACCTGCCAATTTTTCTATTGCTTTATCTGAAATAATACCTTCAAATTGGCTCTCTACCGAGTACAGCAATTTGTATCGGCATAACACCCCACTGCGCCACAATTCATACTGTATGAATGTGAATAATTGCACACATGGACATACAGTCTTACATCTGTAAACCGTACCATAGTTAAATGTTTTTCTACCGAGTACAATACCACCATACACTTTTGATAAAAAACCTCACCATTACTGCAGTGCTCACTCTGCTGCCCAATGGCTCACATTCAGTCCATTGTGTAGTATGACAACGCAGCTATTGTAAAGTGTACTATTCAAGGTATATATTTATATGTTTATCATATACAGGATGTTTTATTGTTTTTTTTTTTATTGTAAAATGACATGCTCAATGTTTTTTCTAAAAATAAATCCATATTAGAAACAATGCAATATGGTTATCATCTCTTTCTTACATTAAAATCCACATAGGCCATGTTATAAAATGCTAATGCAATTAATCAGGGGCACACATTTAACGCCAAAATGGATCAGATATATGTTAATATATAAAAGATATGAAAGGATGTCATGGTTTATGCTCTTCAACAAGGAATAGCGACTCATTTTCCAGAAAGTGCCAAAGGGGAAGCATAGTGGAATATATAGGGAACCTTTACGATTAGCCGCTGAAAAATGGAAGGCTATTCACCTAATACCATTTCAACCATCCAACGTTCTCCGCTCAATCAATAAATTCCCTTAAATGGAACATTCTCAGGATCTATCTGTTCAGTTGCGCCACTACACTGCTGAAATGATTCAGCTTGAATGAGCTCGCTGAGAAGTTCAACTGCTTCCCTGGGGAAGGACACAGGGGCAGGCAGAGGGCCGGAGGTTCGACAGTTGCTGAAATCACACCAACTCAACGCTGCGGGAAGTGGGAGGAAACCGTTTTCGCTTGAATCTAAAGCTGACAT